CGTCAAGAAGAAAGGTACATTTAGCACATTTTAGTGGTATACTTGTTGACGTCTTATTATCACTGTGTCATAGATTTTGACTTTGTTGCGTAATTTAATTTCCTGTGCTGCCTAAACTTGTCAAACTGCTTCAGAACATTACAATATGTGCTACCATTTAATCAGGTCCAGATAAACCCTTCATAAGGAGTGTGAATTGTTACAGTTGTAGTTCTTTGATCCCAACATGGTCTTTTGACTGATTTGAACTAATTGAGGCCCCGCTCACACGGGACCGTTTGCATTTATACACAGTATGCGTATTCAAAAAAGTCTTCCGTTCACATGCATTCGTTTCATTTAACGTGTCTGTTCAAACGAGGCCGCTGGAAACGCTGTAGTACATATGCCGGGACTGTAAGTGGCGCTGTAACTTCCGCCAAAATACACCAAAAGCCGCGAAGAAGAGCAGCCCCGCCGCAATGTTGCCATGGCTACCCTTCTGTTTAAGCCCCGCGGTGTATTTAGCAACATGTAGTTCATGTAATTCTCCATGTCCACTTGTTGCTGATGGTTGTGGTAGAGGAGCTGTAGATTTTGCACTAATATCTGTAGCATGGTCAGTAGCAGTAGCACTAGCAGTAGCTAGGATATAGTCATTTCCTCAGCATATGGATAAATGCAACGGGGAAGTTAACTGAAAGAAACCGAATCTGTGGATATTGCATCGACCGACCAAGAAGCACGTCTCTGTGGAGAGGACGGCTCAGAAAGAGAGATATTCTCTACAAACACCGGGTGAGATCGCACCTTTGTCAATATAATGGATCAATGCATGAAATCTGACTCTGTTTATTTTGTTTAAGGAGTATATTGGGCGTTAACAATTCTGGTTTGCCTTTTATAATATTATTTCATTCAAGAACCCCTTGTGCGTTTAATTAACACAGCTATTTTTGATAGTTGCTACAGCAGTGAGCAGGAGAGGTGGGGAGAGGTGGGGCTATCGCTATTTTTTCAGGAAATATTCGTATAGAGGTGATTACACGGACTCGGTTGACCCCCCAGAGCGTTTCGTTTGCAAATCTATCCACCTTGGGACCCGTTATCGTTTGTGGGGTCAGTTTCTATCGGCCTCGTGTAAATAATAGGGCTATACGCACGCGAAACTATGCAGATACAAGCAGTTTTCTCCTCGTGGAAACGGCGCCTGAGAGTACCCCTCTGCAGGCCTTTGGGACTATGGCATGGTTCACTCGCTGCTGATGAGGGGGTGCTCTGGTTGGTTGTGGGGCATCTGGTTCCACCACCCGCCAGCGGTGCATAATTAAGCCCAATTTCCCCCGACGGTACAGCTGACATGCGCCAGTCACTGCTGGGCTCGGTGCCCTGGGCTAGACTAATCCCCGGTGTGGTCACACTGCTAATAGCTGCAGGGTCAAATCTGTTTATTTGACACCCGTTTCACACTCACCTGGGTTCTTATTGGCATCATCCTAAGACTGCAATTTGCCTCGCCTGTTCCCCAAGCCCAATAAATAAATATGTAATCGTATATATCATGACTTTTTGCTCCACCGGAAATATTGTAGGACATTTGGGAAATAGAAACATTTTAAATACCTGCTGTTGGTAGTCAACCTTTTGACGCATGCTGCAAATTGTGCACGAAGTATTTGCTATGTAAGACACTGAAACTTGTTACTCTAGTTAGTCATAATATTTAGCAAAGATAAGCTATCAATCATTATTATCATATGATGCATTTCTGCTTTTCTACATGCTTACCGGTCCATTATTAGTGGATGTGAATCAAATTATCAATACAGACTTGATTTTATGAAACTGAGAGATCCCTATTTATTAAACCAATTGAGTTGATAGTTTATTTACATGGTATGAGGAATAACAAGGCTGAAAAACTCAGAACAGATTCTTCTGTTTGCGCATGTAATGACTGAGCTCCATGACATTTGGACTTCAGAGTAAAACACAGTGGAGATTTATGTTCAAGCCCACATATTTTGGAAATTACTGTATTTTCAGAATGCCTCCAGTATGTGTGACTAACACCAGCATACTAATGCAGAGAACACATAAAAGAGGGGACATGTTATTATCCGTCCTCCTCGTTGGTACTGGCCGGGCTTTGTACAACACAGAATTGCAGCCCCCCAGAATCTTTTTCAAACTCCAGCTTCATCCCGTTGATATTCCCTCAGGGAAATTAAGGATTAGCTGAGCCTTTCAAACCGGAATTCCTCAGTCAGTTAGCATGAATGTGCCCCCTCCCAAACCAAATCAGCTCTGTTTTGCCCGTTGCCCCGCTATGGGCCTAAGCCCTGTCCCTCAGTTAGGTTGGTTGTGAGCCGTAGTAAGAGGATGAAGGATTGCGGAGCACCACTCTGACTCATGCCCTTGGGTGCCATGCTGCTAAAATGCTCAGAGGACATTGCACTTAAAACTGCTCCTACAGGCAGCGGTGCTTATAGCAAGTTCATTCATGACAGTGAATAATTGCAATGAGCAGACATCTTTATTCCCTCTGCATGCAGATGATTGTGATTGCGTTAATTAACATCCATGTCCCAGATTAGAGCTGTGATATTAGAAACCAGAGTGACATCATGCTGTGGTTTGTGATGCATTACACCCCTGTAGTGTTTGTATTTGTTCATGTGGCTGATGTGACACAATGTTTGTGTTTGTGAGTGGCATTTTTAGAACTTCTGGCAGTGACGCATCAGAATCATGACTGCAGAAAAGCATCATTCATTTGAACCTTTATTGTAGATTTTCTTTTTAAATTGCTGACCTTGAATGTCAGATATAATCTTGCAACATGTCCCATGATCCATCTGTCTGAGGGGAATTTGATCTTGTACAGATACTTTAGTAAGTAGAAGACATAATACAAGATAGGTTGACATTTGTACGGCAATAAAGCACAAAGTAAATGACCTAATTCTGACACGTAATTATGTTCCCTCACCCATGGCGTGATTTCTTGCATTTCTAGTCGTTACTGCCCTATGCCCGAATTTCTTTAATTCTTCATTCATAGTGGCCGCTCTGTTCATGTTTATGTTAATTTGTTTATAGGCTTTTTAGCTGTAAGCCGTTACATAACTCTTTATCTAGGACAGCAACTAGAGGTCTGTTTCTGTCTGAGTTTTTCCTTTTGATGTTTTCAGCGTCCATTGCATACCAAGGCAGTCCGGTAGTACTTATAACTACAAAATTAGTCACTTGCTCTGCAAGAATGGAGAGGAAGTGTGTTTGTGTCATGCCTTAATAGCTGACATAATCGCAACTCACACATTTCCCCCCTCACTGACAGAAATATATCAATTCCCAGCATTTCCTCCCTCCACATTTACCACTCTTGTATTTCCTCCTAGCACGTCTTGCTTTTGATGTCCCATGTCTTCACGGCTGCCGGACTTTTTGAGATGAGACCCAGAAGGCCTGTTGAACGAAATAAACGGCTTAGGTTGTGACTAGTAGAGAGATGCATCCCTGTGTGTCTGTGCTCCGTCAGCGTCATTGTTCTGCAGGCTATAGAGTCCTCCAAGACACTTATTTAATGAGACGGCTCTGACTGTGTAATTGCAGGCTGCTCTGAGAGCTATTATGGGAGATGTATTTTAGGGGGGCAAAACAGCCATTACTGCGACAAAAACGGGCCGAATGTGTGTGAAACACATTCACACAGTAGCACTAAAGCTGACATGAGGAGGCTGAGCATCCTGCTGCCACACCTTTGACACATGGATCAATTTATAGTGTTCATGTGAGTCTGTTTAATTCCTGGATCTCCTGGAGTTTTGTTTTCACTCTGAAAGGATTTGCAAATCACCCGCACTGCTGTTCTTTTTCCTCCTATACTTCCCTCCAAAGGCTTTATTCATAGAAATAACTTGGCCGCTTTTAAATCCAAGTCACTCATAATTTATGAAGCTATCCTAATTTTAAATCAGTATTTTGCATTGGATTTGACGCAGCGTTCTATAATATATCCAATGCAATGTAAATCGTAAAATAAGACTTTTTTCATGTTCCCCCTCATTCATGATTGATTCTCTGTGAGGCCCACTGCTTTTGCTCCCATTCGCTTTCTGTTTGGTGAATATTAATAATATAATAAATATTGGGAGGGATGAAACCCTCTTTAATGGTCACACATGCAGAGCACACAGCACACACAGTGACATTTGTTCTCTGCTTTTAACCCATCCTAGTACCAGGAGTCTAGTATATTATATATATATATATAGTCAGATATTTGGTTCACTCGTGCTGGGATTTCCGTGTCCCATGATTTATTTAGGACGTGTTGAGGTCTTTCAGAGAGCCTCACATCACAGTCCTGGCACTCTGTCTCACCAGGCATCCTTTAGCCTCTTAAATGACTCCCTCCATCTCCCTCTACCGCCCCTTCCATCATCATTCTCCTTCCTCCTCACCACAGCGCTCTTTGCAAATTAAAAGAAACAAACCAATGTGATCCGACAGCTGAAAGAGACTGCTGGGCTAATGCTAGCCTATTTTACACTTTACCCCTTTAACGCTTGAAGTCTCCGTCCAGATGGTTTGTTTGTTGTTGCTTCTACTGCATAACAAAAGCCTATTCTGCTTTGCCAAGAATAACTAGGCGAGGTGGCATGCCGTTTCTGTGAAAGAGACACAATTAGCTCATCTTGGCTGCTGCTTGGCACTGATAGCTTCTCTTTTACTTCCTGGACTCCTGACGCTGCAGCTGGCTTCTGCTTCTTCATTCCTGTCCTCTCACATGTTTTTATAGAGAGAAAGAGAGAGGGAGAGAGCATGAATGTACGCCCCCACCTGTGTGTTTGGGCTGCTGTGAGAGGACAGGGGCCCTGAGATAGCAATCACAACAGAATCAGTCACACCGACAGTAAGACTTTACAGAGGGATAGGCCAGTGTTTATTTGGCATGCGAGTGTGTGTGTGTGTGTGTTGTGTTTTGAAAGCCTAACAATCCTTTCTATTCTTAACAGTATCTGGAGAGGCCCCAATGTGAATTGTGTGGACAGCACTGGATACTCCCCTCTCCACCATGCCGCCCTCAACGGACACAGGTATATCAGTGATGTATAACTCTAGGAATTAACAGAAACTAGGGCTGGGCAATATATAAATATGATATCAATATCCTGTCATAAGACTAGATATTGTCCTTGATTTATGGATATTTATTATATATATTATATTATTGTAAAGTTATGTCATGTTCTGAATTTAACAGACTTATAGCTTTTATAGTATTAACTTTACACACTTAGTCAATAAATCCAAATAACTGCTGGTTAAATATCCAAATGTTCATTGTGTCAATATTTTTAGTCCAAGCATCAATAGTCAACTCCACAACATCGTGGGATTTGGTAAAGAATATTGCCATGTTTGATTTGTCTTCATAACGCCCACTGCTAGTTTCCCCTCCTCTCTTTATGCCCTGCATTATATAAGGCATTTGAGACAACTGTCCCACTGGGAAAACTTAAAGCTATTGATTTGCTGTTTGCTAAGGCAGTGTGTATTCATTAGTGTGGTTATAAACCATTTGCCCTGTCCCTTCATTCGTCTGCAGCGAGGTGGTGGAGGCGCTGCTACGAAACGAGGCCTTGACCAACATCGCCGACAATAAGGGCTGCTACCCCCTCCACCTGGCTGCGTGGAAGGGGGATGAACATATCGTCAAACTGCTCATTCACCAAGGACCTTCACATCCAAAACTCAACGAGCAGGTCTGCCGCTGCTTTGCTCTGCTGTGTTTGTTTGTTTCTCTGTGTTCGTGTGTCTTGGTCTCTCGGTTTTACACTTTTGGTGTGTGCTGATAATATCATTGAGTTGTGAAATGATGTCAGTACAATGTTCATTTGCTCTTCCTTTCTTTCAGAGTTTGTTTTTAGATCCTGGTTAATAATCCCAGAACACTCTGCACATTTGTTGGTGGTAGTTTTGTAATTACAGTCAATGATTTAGTCAACCGCTATAGGAAGTTACTAATTTATCAACATTGTAAGGAGATCATTCTTGCTAAAGAAATGCCACATGATAAAGATATTTCCAAATGTAATAATAGTTCAGCATGGCATGGTCTGTACTGTATTTAAACAAAATTAATGTTGAAAAGTCTGCGACCAGAGTGCATTAACTTGAATGCATCTTGAGTCTGACTTCTACTGTGATGCTGTGAAACTGTGCTTTGACGCCATGCCAGTGTGAGAAGTGCTTGTTTTGCCCCTAACCATTTTAACTGTTTTAACTCATATTCATATTTTGTTTGGTTGCTTACTGCACAAACACCTCTGGCCTTTTTAGGATAAGGAGAAATGACACTCAATGAGCTCCACAAATGTTATCTGGATAATTCTATCAAACGAGAAGACACGCTCAAATGATCACATAAGCTAGATTAAAAAAATGATATGTGTCTTATTTTGTGTCATTTCTCCCTGCCTGTTCATGACATCTGATTGTTTATTAACTTCACCCTGATTTTTGTTGTCTCTTTTATTTAGTTTGACTCATTTGTGATCATTCATTTGTTCATTGCTTGTCTGAACCAAAACCATTGGCCTATCTTCTCTTCCTCCCTCCCAGAGCTCTGTAGACCATAAAGAGTTCAAACGCTGTGGGCCCTTTGACCCATATATTAATGCCAAGGTGTGTACAGAGTGCTGCGTGAAAACATTTCCTTTTGAAGTGCTTCTTTGCTTTACTGCTGTGTTGTCTCGCTGTGCTTGGGTTTGGGTTGCTGCTGCTGCTTGCTTGGCCATTCTGCCGCAGATATATGGGAAAGCTTTTCATTTCATTCTCCATTGGTAGATCCCTGTCCTCTGGATTTCTACTCCGCTTTATTGTAATGTAACATCTCTGATATGCCCTTCACTACATCATCTATTTTCTTCATGTTACAATACTGTTGTACCGACCTTTTAATCAGGGTCAGGAATTAGGCTTTAGAAAAAGAAATGCCCTTTAAAGTTCAGCAGTTGTCTTTGCTCTGAGGGGCAGAGGACAGACAGGGGATGATGTGTGAGGGTAGATGTCCTTTAAGCTTGTTGTGTTAAAAATTGAGCAAAGCACATTGTATAATATGCAGCTGAAGTATTACAGTTGTTGGCACCACACAGCCAACAGAAGGAGAACATATTGACTAATAGCAGACCACACTATCAATTAAAGCTACACTGATCATTATGGTATTAAAAAGATAAACAGTGGAAAGTTGACAAATGGAGAAGCTTACAGGAAGTTCTCGGAAGTATTGACTGCGATATAATTGATTGTGCATTGCTACAAATTGAGTGCACGATAGATTTGTGAAGTGCTGCAATTTATAGATTTTTTTCACAACTTGTCTCAACTATTAGCTACAAAACCCATTTCTAATATTAAACATTAGAAACACAATGTTAAACACGTTACACAATGTTATAACTAACAACATTTTTATTTTTATTTTCAGCCATGTTAGCAGCATGGCTCAAGAGAGAGAGAAAACACAAATTATGTTATGGAAACACTCATGGTTTGCAGAGGATGAATCATACTGACCTTTCATTTAGCACCATGAGGTTGATATTTGAAGTTTTGAAAGAAATATCTGTATACCCATTGGATGGATTATCATGATGTTTGGTACACACACCCGATAATGCAACATCATCAAGTCTAATCAAAAATAAATTGTAAAATACTAATATTTCCATCAGCCTTAACCGTTGCTGGTGTTAAGTTAGCTAGTTAGCATGCTAACCTGCTTTACTAAGACAGTGAACACGGTAACCCTTGCCAAATGTTAGCATGTTAGCATGTTGCATGTAGCATGCTGATGTTAGCATCCCGTTAAAAGCACCGTTGATCATATCAGAGCTGCTAGCATGGCTATAGACCAAAACAAATAATGTTAGCTCTATTGTACCAATGCAGATATTCTCAAGTTTAGGAGTAAAATGAAACGTAGATACCCCTAGGAAATCAGATTGAGGGAACAAACTTCTACAAAGAAAGAAACATATGAAGCTACTTACCATCAAAGGAAAATAGAGAGTTTAGTCCCCCTGTGAACAGACCCAGCTTTTAATGTTTATCTTTTATGTATCTATCTTTTCTGGAGTGCATACCGAGTTCAGTTGCTTTATATTTCACATGCTCATTGCATTCAGCATTCAAGGAAAGCCCCAATCAAAGTGCGTCTACATGAGAAGAATATCTGTTCAGCAGACACTGCAGAGCTTCACAGCTGGAGCAGTGAGTGGTGCTAACATGTTGGTCGCTTCATGTTTTCCTCTCAGCTGGCAGAGCTGGAAACCCACCCCGGCCTGTAGATAAAGCTGAACACTATTTTTGAACATTGTCGCATTTCCCCTGGACTAATCTTCTTAGCGCTTGGATTGGAAAGCTGGCTTTCTTTAATGCAGCTATATTTTCGAGTAGGAATTTCCCTGCAATGGTTGTCTTACTGTCTTTTCCATTTCAGTAAATTTGATGAATTTAACGTTGAGTCTTGTTATGGTTTGCTGAGATTATAGATCATGTCTTAATGTAAACATTTCAGGATAGTTTGGGGAGCACTACCTGGTCACAAGCCTGAATTATTGAAGCCTTGTTATGAATAAATCAGAAAGATGGATGCAGTGTGGATGCTCTGGTTGTGGTCATGGTTGATCACGTGACTTGGTGGGCGGGGTGCATCCTGCCTCCCCTCTCCTCACACTCCAGTACCAGAGAGCCATGTCAGGAAGAGGAAGAGGAGGAAGATGAGGAGGTTTTCAGTGTACCAGTCTCTTTGCATTAGCATCAAAGAAAGATTTCCACTCCATGCTTGTCTGTGTGTGAGTGTGTAAATGGGTGTGTTTGCGCCTCCCTCTCTTCTCCCCACCTCCCCGGTTTGTGCTTGCGTTGCTGAGGAGAGAAAGAGGTGGGACGTTGTCATAGTAACAGTGTCACGGTACAGTGGTAGTGAGTGGCCCAGTGGAGAGATGTGGTGTTTGTGCAGAGTGAGCCTAGCGCTGTGTGATGAGGCTGAAAGTGGGTCTGGGAGTCATGGACGAGGCTTCAGAGTGGACTTATTATTCCAATTCTCCGTCATCCTGGTCCAGGAAGACAGCCAGACCAATGTTTATTCATTATGTCTCTGTGCTCTCTCCTACTAATAGTTTTGGGGGCTGGTTGGCCGCTTTAATCTTTCAAACGCCTCGGTAGAGGAGATGTATCCACTCAGACTGCAGGCCTGACCCGGACTGACCCCACCATCTGAACACTGGGTTTATGCAGGTTTAGTTCATACCAAGTTGTAGAAACGGAACATTTAATGATTGGAAAACAAATTCCTGTCGAGATGAACAAAAAACCAAAATAAAGCAGCACATTATCACATTTGAAGGACTTGAAAAATGACCAAAATAATCATTACATTATCAAAATAGTAGATGAGAAATGTGTAGTTGTTCAGTTTAGATTAAATAATAGACTTGTTGTTTAAGCTCCACATAAATTCATCGTTCACGTAATTTTTCAAGCTTTACATTTTCTAGATCCAACTCCAATAACATGACAATAAAAAATAGTCCGTAGATTACTCCACAATAAATAATAATCATCAGTTGCAGCTCTAGTTAACTCCCTCTCATGCCATATTGTATTTTTTTCACGAGGAATAATGTCATTTAAGGAATGATGGGTGTATGATGATCTAATCATTATCATTATCATAATCTGTTATCTGGGCAGTTGGACTCGATATTTAACATTAACATTTGAAATGGTTGAAACTCATGTAATATGAAACTAAATTGTATAGGAGCTCAGGCTTCTGTATAGCCTAATGAACATCTTGATTGACCTCTTTTATGTTAATTAACATACAGTCTGTATTACTCCTTAATAAGATATAGCCCCTAGTCTGCCCGGACTCACATCACGCGACCTCTCACCAAGGCTTCATTTTCATATATAGGTCACATGTCTAATGCGATATATGTTTAGATCACTTCCTCTGACCCAGGCTCAGATGTCAGGGGGCTTTGCCCTTAAAGTGAACTTCACCATGTGCTCTAAGTAACCCTGGATACATTCAAATAAAGTTGTTCAGAATAAACTATGTATACTGCATATATGGTATGCTCATATTGAGACAGGTATTGGATGGTATGTCAGGCTTGGTGTGCCGTGTCTCAGAGGGCTGAAGTTGGAAAAGTTTCTGATGGCAACAGCAGAAGTAATTTCTTTAGACTTGGTCACCTCATTATCAGTAGTGCAGTAGAGTTTCCCTCCTTCCTCTGGGCGCATCGCTCGCAGTCTGCCAGCACGCTCATTTATCCCCTCTGTCTGTCACTTCAGTGTCCAGCTCTTCCCTCAACAACACCATCACCCCCCCCTCCCTTTACCTTCTGCTCCCTGCTCGTCCTCCAAGACTCCTTGTCTCTGTCGTGCCAAGAAATGGCTGGAGCCCATTTGAGGAGTCCTTCCGGGGACATGTTGTTATTTAACGGAAGGACCAGGATTTCTCCATTGTCATGCATTCTCATTTGCACATGTCAGGGTGTGTCTTATTTGGCAGTTGGGGCCATTTGTTACTGGAGGAGGAGAGTTTCAGGAGCAGAGATGGTATCTGAGACCCTAAAGGCTTTTTGGTTGTTTGTGTTTGGAAAGTCCCATTTAATCAAGGGGAATATAAGGAGGTAAACCAATATTTCCTGTAAAAAAGAGAAAAAGCCCACTGTACAGAGAATTACAATCTGTGGCAGGAAGCCAGTGAGACATTCATCTCATTAAAGGACTGCAAGGTCTGTTAACTCAGGAATGCGTGACAGCTTCTAAATAAAAATCCACCATTAGAGTCAGCCTTTATATGATTGTTGCTGTGCATTTAATGAAAAGAACACTTTAGGAATTCACGAGTATTTACTGGGCTTTTAAACCAATGAAAAAGTACTTGGGCTGCAACTAAAAACCATCTCATTATTGATTATTCTGTCTTTTTTTGCTTTAAATCTAATTTGATGTCCTTCAGTTTCCTTTTTTGTCCTCCAGGCAAATATATTTAGTTTAAATAAAATTGGCAGGCTGAACCAGCTAATGTTTACAATGTCTGCTTATTAATCAACTTCAATAAATCAAATGTTATAGCTGTAGCTTAATGTGTCTGTCAGTTGATAATAATTTTAATAATTAAGAAAAACATTATAATTAGAAAATATAATAAAAGATGTTGACTGTAACTACTTTACCCCGCCCTATTTAGCATTAGCAGGCAGTATACAAACATTAAATTAAGTGTATATTGTAACAGATACATGGCATTATTAATGGATGCATGCATCAGGATGCCAGATCTGTCAGTGGACATGGGCATGCAGCGAGGATGGGCAGCCCGTTGGCACACTAGCTGCAACAGCTGCTCAGCCCACTCCTCCACCACCTCCTCCCACCACCACTACTACTACACCACCAGGGGCCAGGCTGACGTAACCGCTGCCAGCCCGCACCTCACGTGACGGAGGTCGCTAGTCAAACCGTGTTACTGTCTCTCAGCCCCAGGTTGTGAGAATCACAACATCCTCTGTTCTCCCTGTCACCGTGTGGCTCTTTCCCCGCTCGCTGTATTCTGCAGCATGAACACAATGCAGTTTAATCTCCAGATGTTCCTGGTTAGAGCAGGGTTTACCAATCAGCAGTGCCGATCTTAATCTCTTCTTGTTTGACATGTACTGAGGTCTAAATCAGGATGATGCTGTCTGTAGCGCCACAGCAAAGAGCAGACGGGATTTTCATAAAAACACGTTCTGTCCAGGAAGTCTTGGCTGTGCTGTATGAATTCTAATCTCTTTCCCAGCAAGACTGCAAGTCATTGGTGCCATTTTGTGTAATAGCCTTCAGAGCTCTGTCTTGTTAGTACATGATTGTGTGACTGCTCACACCGCCTGTAGAGGAGATAAGGCTGATTCAGTTTGTCTATATAGAGTAAGATTATGCTGTAACACAAGTCTTCTTATACAACAAATGTAAAAGTTGCTACACTAAATTGAATTTAGTGTAGCAATGTTTTGAAATTAGATTTTTATTTGCAGCAGGGCTATGCTAAAATCAGCTTTTAAACCAAGCTACCAATGTTTAGTTCCTCTCATTGTGTGTTTTAATAACCGTTTTCTATGTGGACATCATGCATCAAGTATGCAACCTATTTAGAGAGGATATTAGGTTTTTCTTTTTAAAGCTGTATATCCAAAAGCATGTTTTTCAATGGCTTTCAATAAAATTATCGTAACTGTTTAAGAAATGTTGCAACTGCAAATGCTACACAGAAAGTGTTGCCTAATTAATGATACTGACATTATGACGTGGCAGTTTCAAAGCAGTGACACATGATGGGACTCTCCTATTAGTCCTATTTCAGTTTGTGTGTACAGACATTTAGATAAGACAAACTTTGCGTTGACTTACATCTAAATACGCTCCTGGTCTTCCCCTTTACAATTGTCTTTTATAACCAGTAGGTGAGCAGATGATGTTTGTCAAAAGAACATTTATTTAATTAAAAAGGAAATACATCCAATAATCAAAACTCAAGTGATGGAGGGGGTCCGTGGGTTGTTTTGGAGTTTCTGTAGAAGCCCAGCATCGGAAGACCCGTGTGAATAAACGTTGTAGCGTAGCTTGCGTCAGAGGCGAGGCTCGATGTCTCAGCACTGCTCATTCCTATCAGTGAGTCAAGTGGCTAGTCATCCATGTTTAATACGATCAGATGCTGGCTGACACATAGCTGTGGAGCACTGACCACAACACTGGCAGGGGAAACACTATCTTAACATGATCATATGCACTGAGCTCAAGGAGGCGCCTTGTGTTGCACTCCTGTCATACTGTGTGAAAAAGCTTTTTGTTTAATTTCAGTGTTGGAGTCAATTGTGTTGGTTGCTGTATGTATATCATTGTATCCTAGATGTACCTAGATTAATGTTGAAGCAGTAGACCTGCATGTTTGAGGAAGTGAATCAGGCTGATGTCATCACAGCGTGTATGTTTGCCTGCTGAAGTCATCACAGTAAATCTCTCTAAAAAGCTAATGCTTGATGGTTCGTCACAGATGAAAGATGACATGCTCTTTTACTCCGCAGTGCGGCCATTTATCTATAACAGTGCTTGCATGTGAGTTTGTTTTGAACCACAGAAAAGCAAATGTACAAATCCATCTAATGAAACCACCCAGGCAGTGAAACTGAATTTGCATTGCTTTAGCTCTCAGAGAAAGGCAGCTTTAAACCCTGTTTTTTTTCATTTGTTTTGTTCAGTTTAGTTCACCCAAGAGGAGAGTATTTTTTTTCCAGCCTTTTGATAAGCAGGTGTCGTTTTGTGTCTCTAAGCTCCACCTCCTCTCTCTCTCTGCTCAAGCTGTGACCTGCTTTGCCAGTGCAGTACAATACTCAACCTCTCTAAATCCCACTTTCTCTCTGTAACAATGGAGGAGATACCTGCTGATCCCATCTGGCGCCAGGTCTTTCAGAGAGTCTGCTGACACCTGTCTTAAACTGCCCCTGTTGCCCCCTCTTCATGATGTCCTGTCTTCAGTGGCACAGCTGGCACGCTCCTATGGGAGTCGCTCAAACTGGCATCGTGCATGTCCATGTGGGGGCCTCTCGTGCCAGCTGTCAGCCCTTTGTAGGTGGCTCTGTGCGTCTGGAATGACCCACTCTTGGAGCATGTGTTTCCACAATAACACTGACATTATCTGCCACTCCCATCCCTGCATAATATGTGAATAGAGCTAAATATCTGTGGGGTTGAATAGGCTGTATTTTTAAAGATGGCTGAGCATTTGCAATTGTGTCACACTGAGAGATTCAGAGCAGTGATTGTTGCTGTTTTCCTCTCATGTTATCTTCTACTATAGGAAGGAGGTTTTTAGTTTTTTTCTTTTCTGGACTACAGTTCCCATGTGTCTAGTTACAACCCAGCAGCACAGTCCTAATTATGACTATCTGTGTTGTCATTGTGTGTTAGTTTGAGAGAGTATTCCCACGCCATGCCTCAGTTCAGCTCCTGGGTTGCAGGGTTTGCCCCCTGCTGGTTGTTCCTGATAGAGAACATCAGCAGTGCTGGAGGATCGCAGTGTCTATTAGACATTGATCTTGTTGCTGCATGCGACTCATTAGATCCAATAATCACCACTTACTGAGTTTACACTGTAATTACTACTTTTAATTGCTGTTTGTTGGCTAGTCTTTTAGCTTGTTGTTCTTCAATGAAGAGTTTGGAGAAGAGATGATTCAGCTTTGTGCATAGATGAACATAATGTGAACCTTTTAATATGAAGGACAACAATCAATGTCTCGCTCTTTATTGGGTTTTGTATACTAATCTTTACAGAGTTCTCTATTTTCCGCTCAATTCCAGTGAGTCAGTGTGTTATACACAGCATTATTGAGTAAACTATAGTGTCAGGCAATAACCCAGGTCACTTCCTGCATTCCCCATCTCTAGAAACTCAACAGTCACACATTTGCACATGTGCAAAATGCGACACTCATCTTTTCCCCTTCATCGTCTTGTTTCTGAAACTTCCATGACTGTCGCTTACAGTGTGCTCTGATATGTGAGCACAAAAAGTGTACCATCAAAGTTACAGTCTATCTTGACAGGGATTCTTTTTTACAATACAAGTTATACAACACATATGTATTGCCCAAGAGGGTTGAAATGTGTCTTCCGGTCACCAAACACAAATAAACATGGCATAAAAGCAGACAAGTAGTGAGTAAAACAAAGTGTCATAGTGTACAAAAAAACCTTCATGTCTGATGCTTAAATATACTCATTCATTTGAATGTGTTACGAATAATGATGACAATTGGGATGAAGGACTTCTTCTTGTCTTTTGACTAAAAATGTTGAGTCAATGGCTGTTGGGGTTTTGCCAGCAATTTTCTTGCCATTGACACACGCCTAACATTTTGAATTGTGCCAGGTCTCACTCTTTGTAACTGCACAAAGCCAAAGACGTTCTGACACTTAAGAGGCCCGTGTCTCTGTTAATTCCCCACCTGCCTGGGTGCCTCAGCCCCTCCACTAGCCCCACCCCCCCACTGCCCCTGGCTCTCACTGCCATCCCCAACACCTGTCCTCATTAGTCCATGCATGTCTGCCAGTCCCCCCCCCCCACCCACTCTCCACCCTCTCCCCACTCTGCCAGATATTCCCCCAGGCCTCACTGTGTGCTTTATCGTTATCGGTGCTATTTCATGACCTTTTTTAATCTGCTAATGTGGCGGGCTCTGTGCGCTGATGGGGTTCACCTCACAACGACTCCGCTGAGTCACCTTTTTTCTTCCTCATTAACAACCATGACAACCCATCTCTCCTGATCTCCTTTATCTATTTGTCTATTTGTTTCTTGTGTGTCCTGTGCTGCTTCTCACCATCGTTCATACGCCCCCAACAGAACAATGACAACGAGACGCCGCTGCACTGTGCCGCTCAGTACGGACACACCCGGGTGGTGCAGATGCTGTTGGAGGAGCTGACGGACCCCACCATGAGGAACAACAAGTTTGAGACCCCACTGGACCTGGCTGCGCTGTACGGCCGCCTGGAGGTGGTGAAGCTGCTGCTCACTGCCCACCCCAACCTGCTCAGCTGTAACACCAAGAAACACACGCCGCTGCACCTGGCCTCCCGTAACGGACACCTGTCTGTGGTGGAGGTGCTGCTGGACGCCGGCATGGACATCAACTATGAGGTGTGTGTTTCTGATCTAGAAGTGTGGGAACTTAAAAGCTTCCGTTTGCAAGTGTGTCTTAATATACTGTCATGGCTAAAATCATGTTGGGTGACTTGCAGCACTTCCTCTCACTACTTCCTACTGAAGCGATGAGATTAAATGTAAAACTCTTAAGCTCTCAGTTTGCACAGGAACTGCTGTGGTATCAAAGCAGCGCCGGCCTTGCTCCCCCTGGTGGGCCCCGTGGCTCTCACTCTGTACCAAACTGTGCCATCCATCTGTCTGGAAATACTTTCCCCTTTGCTCTGCCCTCCTTTTCCTCTGAATCAAGGATGCAGAGTATATTCAATGTCCTTCAGGCCTTCCGTCCTGCAGGTTTCAATTATCATGGCCCTCTGAGCTGGAAAATGATCTGCTTTGATTTCTCAACCACATAATTGTTAGTATAGGAGTGGACTGGGTGGTGGGCTTAAATCTGGTACTTGCCATACACTGTTCAGGGTTTGCCAGGCTATCAACCAAGCATTAGCCTTAGGTTGCCGAAAACCGTTACTGTCAAGCCCTTGCTGAAGTTTTGCAGTCTGACTCTTCTGAAAATAGCATACGGAAATAAGCATGTGCTTGCATTTTGAGAATAATCATATTTGTGTCACACATTGGTGTTAATTTCAACTCTCTTTGCCTCTGGCTCTTTTTGCTCCTGTTTTTTTCTGCTCAGACAGAGAAAGGCAGTGCCCTCCACGAAGCTGCATTGTTTGGGAAGACAGATGTGGTACAAAGACTTCTCAGTGCAGGTCAGACTTCAGCAAGCAACATCTGCATCACTCTCTGCTCTTAATAAACACAGCATCTATGAAGTAAATTAGATTAAAACCCACACATAACTCTTCACTGTTCCTGTTGTCATTCGTCAGGTATCGACGTGAACATCACCGACCAGAAGGGCCTGACAGCGCTGGACACTGTCAAGGACATGCCCTCCCAGAAGAGCAGACAGATAGCTGCTCTCATCCTAGGTAAACACCACATGTACAAAAAAAAGAACAGAGAACTGTGAAGGGAAGTGAACTACTTATTTCACTTGTAGCTGCTGTGATACAATGTCCTGTTTGTCTGTTGCAGGTCACATGACTGGAAAACCCCCTGACATTGACCTCCCCCCTCCACCAATCCCTCCGCCTCATGAGAGTCCCTGCCCCCGTAAAAAGAGTAAGAATTACCAGATGTTAGAAAAAGCTGAGTGTTGTTAGCTATGATTTAACACAGACTAGGAAACTGAAATATAGGGTTTATCTTTTTTCTGTTCAGCTAAGAACTGAATGTGTCTGTTAACACATTGCCTTGTGTTCTAGGTGATATGGACAAGGTGAGTGAGCTGATCTCTGGGCTGGCCCCGGGGCCCGAGGAAGAGAGTCCGTACGAGGCTCTGTTTGAAGCCACTTCCTGTCACTCTCTGGACAGCCTCACCAGCGGCAAGTCTTCTGACCGGGACTCTGGGCGGCCGGACAGTGAAGCTGGCAAGGTCAGCAATTGTTCAACCAAAACCCACCTTCACACACACACCTTCACACACACAAGCAAACACACACATGCAGGCCACATGGATAGCTTGTAAAAGAGTTTCATATGAGGTGAAGTGCAGAACTCCCACTAGAGGGTGATAGTGGTCTTCTTTCCACATGACAGGGCCTCAAACCCCTCCAGCATTAAACCTCTTGTGGTACACAGTGAACATGTAATTCATTGCTTAACTTAGTTCTTGCAATATACTAATGAATAATAATTAATTTGATACTATATATTTATTAGGTCTTATCATTTGTATCTTTTGCAGAAAGATCGCTTGGGCCACTCGTTACATCCTGGTCCGGGTCATGAAGAAGAGGTAAGCTTAAAAGTGGGATCTGAGATCATAAAGCCAGTACAAACTTGTTCCCATTTTCAACCACATATTCTAATATGTGCTGTGTTTAGCTGTGTGCATGTGAGAGTCATGGCAGGACAGGTTTTTCAAAAAGTTAGTTCCTCTAAGAGGTCGGACATGATGAAGAATTACTGCCATGTCATAGTGGCTGTTGCAAAATTACTATCTGCTAAATATCTGCCACTTTTTTTTGCCACAACCCCTTTCTTCACGGTTGTTGCTCAAATCAAGCCACTTCTTGATAAATATTCATTTCAGTGCGGTATGTGACAAAAGCAGGGGGCGCATGACGAAAGTAAAAGTGTGAAATATTTTTGAAGAAATCTGAAGCAGTCTGACCTCAACTGTGGCTTCTCATAGACACTGCGCTATTAAAATACCATTAAGGCGTTGTATTTTTAAGGCAAAACCTTTTCCATCCCTCTATTTTACTCCCCGAAGGACGTAGTTGGATCATAAAATATAACAATCTGTCCAAGTTGAATTACATTTTCTTTTCACCTTGTTACTTTCTCCTTACCTCCACTCCCTTGGTGTCTCTTTCTACAGGCCCTGTATACTAACAGCAGTATTGATGAGAGAGGCGAGCCGGTGGAGGAGGATCACACGTATGAGTTGCTGCTGACTGCTCAGACCAAACACGCATCGCCCAGCCAGGAGTCCCAATCCAATAAAGGTAATTGTGTGTTTAAAGTATAATCCAGCCGGGAAAAATATGTGCACATCCAGTATGCATTCCTTTAAATTAGATGTTCTTTTCCTGGATAAACTACATACCCTCACTACTGCTTTGCATACCAGTGACGCCTCATTCCTGGCAGGATTAAAGCTGAATTTGCGAAGAGCTGGTTCCTTTTAACCCAAATACTTCTTTAATCTCCACTGATCAACGGACCCTGAATGCATTCCTCTCCTAATCACAAAGGCCATCTACAGACACATGGTCAACCTTTGCCACGACTGTGTTTGCCGTACATGAGCAGACCCTCCTTAGTTGTGCCTGATGAATGGCACTGCATGTAATTGGATTAAATGGGATTAAATTAGGTGGCCATTTTGATTCATGGCTGTTAATGTAAATGTTTTAAAACCATCCCCTCGGGCCCTCCGGCTCAGTCAGCCTCACTAGTCTCTTAAGAAAACGTCACTGAGCTGAAGGGTTGGATTTTAATCGCTGATGTCATCATGCCTCCCCCTATGTGGATAAATGATGGGATTCTTCACTGTCCTGCGTCATCTACCCTTGAGTCGTGGAGAAATGTTAAGCGATTAGTTCCTATCTGTTTTAAAACGGCTTTATCCTGTCAGGATACCCAGCGGTGTTTAAATGGCAAGGAGGAATTCTGTTTGACTGATATGTCGCCATGCATAATACATGGTTTTATTCTACATCACTTTCACTTACCCCTAGCATAATGTCTGTCCTGACAATCAGAAGGAGCAATACACTGTCATATTAACATATTGAGCAATGGGTCAGGACAATCTTTCGTCTGCCCAAACTTTGTTCTAACTCAAATGTTTTCTCCTCAGATGAGAACACCACTACACAGTCTTCCAACAGTGTCCTACCTCAGGTATTTAACATTCTTTCTTTTATACTTCTCGTATGTTTCACGCCTTTAACCCTATATCGAAGAGTCATTTCGCTTTTGGCAATACCTTTTTTCTCATCCTTTAATGCCTTCCAGTTGCAAAATCCTTTAGTAAGGCAAGGCAAGGCAAGGCAAGTTTATTTATATAGCACCTTTCAACACAAGGCAATTCAAAGTGCTTTACAAAAATGGAAGACATTAAGAAAATGGCATTTAAAATCAGTCATTAAAAAGAAAAGATAATAAAATAAACATTAAAAGAAAAAATACATGGATAAAAGTTACAGTGCAGTTTAAGATGTGAATAGTTCAATTAAAAGCAGTGGCAAAAAAAAAAGTCTTCAGCCTGGATTTAAAAGTAGTCAGAGTTGCAGCGGACCTGCAGGTTTCTGGGAGTTTGTTCCAGATATTTGGAGCAAATCCTTCTGCAAGTGCAAGTTTTACAAAAAACATATGGATGGAGTTTTAACAGTCAGAACAGTATCCCAGCTGCAACTTGAATTAAATATCTGGAGCATGACCACACGACCGCAGCAGGTTATATAATGAAGATGAAGGTCTCCTCACAGTCACAGATTGAGTCATATGTCAGCAGTAGGCAGAAGTCGTCTTAAACTAGCCCTCATAACTGTGCCTGTGCAAACCCGCCTGTTCTATTTATTGTCCTATTATATCTTATCTTATCACCTTTTCCGAATTTATCAGCCAGTTAGCAGTTTTATTATCGCTGCCTCCCACCCACAACCCCGCCTGCTGCCCACAGTATCTGCTTGCATCTTTTATTTTAAGCTCCTATTGGATTAGCTGTGCTCCCCGGCTGCCTAATCATAATAAATGATAGTGTCCTCTCTGCTCTAATGTACAGCCTGGTGAGCCAAGCTACATTATGGCTGAGGTGGGCAAACCAGTACTGCCATGACGACAAACAATAGGATATCATGTTATGCTAATCTATTAGAATCAGACTCAGAATACCTTTATTAGTCCCACAGAATGGAAATGTTCATTGTTACAGCAAAAGTAAAGAGGCAAAATATTAATTAACAGGCATGCATTAAATATTTGAGAGAGAAATTACACAAATTACAATAAGTAGATTAACAGTATTTAAAAAATGTAAATAAGTGTAGCATGTAGAAGTAGTGTGATGGCAGCCAGATAACAGTATAAAGTATTGCACAGTGATTACAGATTGTGTTACAGTAGTTAAATAGTTGAATAACTAAAGGATAGCAACCAGTAGAAATAAATTGTAAACCGGTATATACAGTTTATATATAAGCTAGCTGAAAACGTAGCTGTGGCTTTTAGCGTATTCCCTGCATATGCTTAAATTATTGTGTTTGGGTGTACAATACATTTTGATTGGCAGGTGTAAGTTAACTCTTTTTCTGTCCCACTTTAGCGTAAACCCTCTGCCCCGAACGACCTCAGAGCCCCGAGCAAGACGAAAGACACCCTGCACCCTCCCGGACGGTCGAGCCCACGGACACCAGGAGGTGAGTTTGACGTCTCCGATTTTTTGTAACCTTATAATGAACAACAACTGCTGCTGGCAATACTGTGAGGGGAGAGAAAAGATGGACTGGACACTTCAGACTTGGAGAAACACAACCAAGCATGTCAATGAAATGGGAGAGGAGCGTTGAGTGTGCAGGGTGAGCTGGCAGGCTTGGATTAGCACTGTGAGGAACGCATGATTGGCATTCTGGAGCAGCAGAGCGGATTTGACTTGTCAGGCTGATTGGCATTCCCTGGCAAGCGGTAAAGACTCATTTCATTGCCAATATGAAACAGAATTCTTGATCAGATTGTGACATTCCTATCTCAACATCCCGCTTAAAGCTGGATATGCTACGTCATCCAGTCAAGCATGGAGTGGAGGTAAGGGGCAATGACTCATACAGAAACACATACAGATATCTTCATTGAATAATTCTGAAAGTCTGATAAAGAAGCTGTTGGATGAATCATGGTAGGTAAGCATATTTGATGGTGCTTTGGACACTTTTTTCATTATTGTTGTTGAATTATTTCTTTACTGTGGTTGTGAGAAAGAGTCGGAAGTAATTTTCTGCCAAATAATTTATAGATGGGCTGCAGCAACATCGGTTTTAAAGATCTAACTTAACAATCTATTAATCATGTCAACTTTGTTGAACTTATTTAAGTAGGCACACATGGAAATTGAAAAAGGCTTTCCATCCGTGAGCACGTGGTTTCCTGATTTGACTGCTTTTAGAAAACTGATGATGATTATTCAAGCTAACAGGACAGCACAGCATGTACCAGCATTGATTCTCATGCGTGTAGTCTCTGTTTGGTGTCATTGCACCTTAATGTTGATACACAGCCATTTCTGATTGGTTTAAGAGACTAAATAAATCATTTAAATAGATTTGTATTGTCAATTGCATGCATATTCATACATATGTTTTGGCACACGACTTAAGAATAGGTGGGCCAGTATGACAAGTGTTGCTTAACAGCTGGTGTTTTGGGAAGTAAAGGAAATATTAAACACTTCTTAAAGCTCGGAAAGCCCTTTATTTCCCTTTTCATGGCACATAGTCCTGTGTGATACCCGAGTTGTACTCTCTTTTCCCTTTTTTAAAGCCACAAAAACCACTCGTCTGTAAATATGGAAGTACCACATTGTTATTATGCATGTCAGCAAGTTAAATGCACCGTTCCCACCAAACATGGACAGCTGCCTGAGTTTAGCTCTTCTCCCGTGGACGTGGTATTCATTGTGATTGAGGCGATCTGAGCTCTGGTTTCCCCCCCTGTGAGGACGGTCAGGGACCAGAGCTTAGCACTGTGGCAGGTGGACGAGATGTGCACCGTCAGTGATATCACAGTGTTTATAATCTGTCACAAACACATTGCTGTCCTCAGCAGGAATCCAGTGTTTCCCAACAGATTTCCACCTCTGCGTCGTGTTTTCATCGGGTTTCCAAAGGACATTTCCCATGAGGAGTCATGTCCTATGATTCTCCACAGAAAACAAACATGTGGTTTCCATGGGACACGGTTATGAACAGTGATAGTGAGGAATCAAATCTAACTTTAATCTTTTCTTCATGCTGGATGTGCAGCTTTTACAGTTTTAAGTTCCCTCTAGTGCTATAAAGCACTTACTGTATGGTTCATCAAAAGCTTTCAATGTTTTTTTGGAAATGTACAGTTGTTTGGATTGCTGTTGTGAAATGAAATACCACAGATAAATGCAGAAAGGCTGTAGATGAAAAGCACCTGTCTCCCAACAAAACCATGTTCAACTTCTTTCATATCTAAGCAGATGTATCTAAGTCCCTCAGTTTGTGAGTCTTTTTAAACATTAGTTTCACTTCGGTACATTTACATCATTTAACAAGATGGTATGTTCGTTCATATATGTGTGTACGCTGTTGAATGTGATTATGGGTAGTGACTTGTCCTTTATTGACCGGCATTGTCGATATAAGCATTTGTTTACTCACTTTTCTATAAATGTCCAAACATCGCTGAGACGGCCTTTATTTCTTTATTGACTTTCTGCAGTATAAGACCGAGGATAAAAATCTCTTCTATCTGCAATATTAACAGAGCAGAGTTTTCACAGGCAGAGCACGCGTTGACTTTGGGGCTGTGTAAACGCTGGATTGACAGCCTGCACTGCAGTGTCTGCAAAGCAAACCTGACATCATTCAGACATGGAGCCTTCTTGGCCAAATGAAATACAAACACCCCCCCGACTCTGTGGTGACCTCACCCATCTATGAGCTGCAATAACATCAGAATCAGTCTGTGCACTTTTTCCAACATAGTACTGTACGAGCGGCAGGGGTTAACATCAATGTGAGATTGTTGGAAGCAAGTTGATGTGCTCACAGGGCGTTCACACTCCCCAGTTGCCTCAGAGAGGGTGGGTGTCTGGCTGTGGACATATGTATGCGTACACTCACTCACCCCTTATAAAACACACAAACACCCACACACACACATTTCCTGGATGTTCAAGTGTGGAGAAACTTGTGTTTTTTTGGGCGTTGCACTGCCCCTGCAAGGATAATAGGGCAGTTTGGCGGAGTCGGCATGAGTTTGTGTGTCTAACAGTCGAGTTGTACGCTCCATTCCTTCGATATTACTCCTTCGCAGCCAACTCTTTTGATGTTTTCATTCTTTGAACAGCAGGTTGAGTGATAGCAGAGCTGAACCACAAATTGCTAGCAGAACATTTGCTCAAACTCTTCTCTGAAGGACAAACTAAGTGTTGCAACAGGTCAATACTTCTCCTGTGGTGTGAGCGTCCCAGATTCGCTGTCACCAAACACCCTGACCCTGTCACCCTGGCAGAGACAGACCACACACACCTTACAGACACACTCCTTCACCATGTGTCGCAGGGATAATTATCAGGAGTCTGGCTTCGGGAGTATAGGGCGATTCAAATTTCCATTCCTGAGCCACCATTTAGGTCCAGAATTAGAAAACAGAAAACTCAGAGGGCTGCTGGTCACTCACCCGGCAGACAACAACTCGCATCACTGCCGTTCACGGGGAGATGACTACAGAACCACGCAGACTTGTGTGCAGTTTTTTCTGAAGCCAAAGAGGATGGCAAAAGCCACTGGCATTCTATGGCTGACTTCATAGTGGAAAAGAGGCTTGGGTGGCAGGAATTCCTCAGGGAGAGGGAAGAGTTGTTTTTGTTGAGAAGGCAGCTGATGTAAGTTATTCTTTTCACCTTTCTTTTACATATTTGAATGTGTGATTGTTGACAGTTATGTGGATTTTTGCATGCAAGTGTAGTCAGTAGCTCGTGGGACTTTTCAGTGTCATCTTGGGGGAAATGGAGCGAACAGACGAGGCCCTGTGAGGTAAGGCGAGTCACAATGATGACTAGCTTCAATGACAAAATAAAGGCAGTCAGGCACCAGCAGACGGCTGCAAGCTGTTTGGAATTCTGTTATTTCTCCAGCCAACATACGCCTTCTCCTTGCTCCATCTCTCCTTCTTTTTCTCTCCGTCACTCCTGGTAGGAAACAATTACAGATCTGTTTCTTGGCTTGTGTGGGCGGTTTCTTATTAGCCCTGCTCCGAGGATCTGCCCTTCAGTTAGAAACCTTCTCTCCAGCCCTCACAAACTACTCTCTTCTCTAACTTTCTTTCCGTTCCTCTCTCTCCAGATAACTCCCAGCTCAGCGAGGATCCGGAGGCAGGTGTCCTGGAGCAGTTCACTGGCCTCCTGCACGGATCCTCCCCTGTGTTCGACAGCCGCGAGGAGCCCTTCAGACTTCCAGGTGTCGTGCCATCCAACCAGAGCCAGCCAGAATCAAAGAAATCTGCCAAAGTAAAGGGGGAAGTAGCCGCGGCTTCACCGTCACCTAGCCGTCCCAGTATGGCCACCATCCTGACAGACTGTGACCCCAAAGCAATTTATGCAACTGTGAATAAGGAGCCCAGAGACTTCGGGGCTGTGGCGGGGTCTTCTGTTAGGATGCGCCCCCCCGGGGACCTGAAGCTGGCACGCAGCCTCTCCAAGTCGGACTCGGACCTGCTCGTGTCGCCCCCTAGTGAGGAGGACGGAGGATTGGGAAACCGCAGCGAGTCGGTTTCTAACTGTAGCACTGGCAAAAAGAGGCTCGAGAAATCTCCCTCTTTCACCTCAGAATGGGACGAGGTAAGTGTTAGTGCTACCATTAGTATTTGTATGTTTATAGTTCTGTAAACATAACTATACTTTGGACAAAGTTAACATTTTTAAAGGTGCTTAATAAGTTCAAAAGCAAAACATATCCAGTAATCGAACTGCAAGATATTTCTTCAGCATAAAGAAAAACTATTGGATAAATGAGAAAACTGAAAAACTTGATACCGTGTCGGAACACAGTCAAAGGACTATGCAGATAAGACACAATAATACAACAATTCATGGATACAGCTTGTATAAAAGTGACATTTTTTATTTAAAATGTAGACTTGCAACATGAATCCAAATATATATATATATATATATATATATATATATATATATATATATATATATATATATATAGTATAAGTTGTGTGAGAATATTTTCTCGGATTCCTCTTGTGTACAGTGTGTCTCCTTTTTTGACAAAGCCCCACTTGTAAGGCTTAAGTCAGCTTGTTCTAGTGCTGCAGCCACAAGGCATTAATCCATAACAACAACACTTTTGATGGAGTGAAAACCTCAGTACCGTCAACAACTCAGTTGATTGTAGTTAACTTCCACAAACTTCCACTGTGTTCCCATTCTGTCAACTCAAAGCCCACCTGTTGTCTTAAGGGGACACACACGTTCAGTAAACAATGACTGTGATGGAAAAGGTGTTCAAGTAAATAGTGAAGGTGTTTACATTTCGTGTCTCCCAAAAAATTAGTTTTTTTGCTTACGTTGTTCCACGAAGCATATTGCATCATGGCATAGTGAATATTTTACTTGGCATTCATTTAGTGAATGTTTATTTTCTCATTCATGGTTTGTGTTTGTGATCACAGTGGATGTTTATAACTAAATATACCCCTCCATTCAGCACTTTAATGCTTTGTCTGGGATAAAGCCAGTCGAGCCAGAGAGAGAGGAGATTAGAGGAGACTAGAATATGGGGGTAAAAAAGACTGAGAGAGTAAGACAATAGGCAGAGATTTGGAAATTGAGATTCAGAGCGAAAATACAAGCTGCAGATCGGTCTTCCTTTAGCTCCTGTCTACTTCTATTGCGTCGGCTCCTAAAATGAACCGGTTTCTCTGCAGAGACAACACATGATACACACATGATACACACAAACACAAAACTGAACAAGTGTAGGATTATTACATATAAAATCCCTGTTTCTAAACACTCTGCTGCAAGCGTAACTTTACTACCCCTTATCGCTTTACTTTATACATATTTATAGTCTGTAATGTAAGCATATATAATAATGAATTAGCAGGAGGTCATACAAGTTAACACGTTTTCCTTCTTTAGGCTTTTTCCCCATTTTCCTTCAACAATCCTCCCATTGTGAGTCGGATTAATGATATCCTCCAGGGCTCTCAATTGAGCATTGGCACAAGCTATCCTCTTAGTAATGTTCCCTGACGTTGTTTGTGTTCTGCTCTGTTTCTGCTGCAGACAACACGCCTCTCTCTTACAATTATTGCTACACCGAGGTGCAGCTTAGTCCGAGAGATGTCTTACAAGTTGTGTTTGTGATGCCAGACCATCAGGAGGAAATCATGGGGCTCAGATAGCACCGCTAATGCCTTCTTCTCTCCACCGTGAGGAGATTGTATTGCTGCACAGTGTTTCTTTACACGCTCCTTTCAGAAGTATCCCGCTGAGATAAGAGCAGCTCGGAGGTCGATATCTGTGCTGCTCTGGGCAGTGGTTTGTTGTCGGGAATTGTTCTCTTCTTTGATCGCTTAAATAACCTCTTCCGTATTAAAGCTTTCAGAGCAGGGCTGCTTTGTTGTTCTATATGGGGAAATTAAACAGAATAAAAAATATCTCTGCAGTAGTATATCTCTGTAGAGCTTCTTCTGACCTGTGTTTGGTGCACAACAAAACCTGAATTATGTATTATAGCTGCTGTGTTTTGCTTTGCTTTGCTTTATGACCTAGACTTTATCGTTGGATCTTTTCTCTAATGATCTCATTTACTCATCTCCACTGTGAGAGTGCAGCTTTATTATTTATTTTGGTTACGTGCAGCCATACAACCGTGCCAGATGTTGTGTTTATGTTGCTGCAGTTTAGCTTTTAAGGGGGATAACTGTCATACTAGCCCACTGCAACAAAGCTGTACTTGAGGAGAAGGTCTTTGAGGGGCCTTTAGGCATGACAGCAAAATAACCCAATGTTTGTTCTGCCCGGAAACAACACTCAGATGAAGAGGGGTGTACAAGGCCCCTTACAGCAGTTTGTCAAATTTCAAACTTGTTTTCTAGACTGAAGGGAAAGATTAACACTTCAGCAGCATGACTCCTTCATTCTATGTAACCGTGTCTTTAGGATCTTCAGGGCCACAAGGAGGGTTTCAATCTTAATCTACTTCAGCAATATCATTCAGGGTTCTTACGGTCATTAAAAACCTGGAAAAGTCATGGAAATTCGAAATGCTAATTCCAGGCCCTGGAAAAGTTATGGAAAACAATATTTTTCCCAACGTTTTGGAAAAGTCATGGAAATGTAACTAAAGTTGCTTCAAATATAATTTATATTGTATCTAATCGCCAAAATAGTAATACTATAATGATAATAAATACTGTATCGTATAGTAATGAAACGTAAAATGGCATTTCACTGTCGAGGTATTTTGCTGGTGAGAGATTTTAGTTGCTTTAGCGTGTAGAAGCTAGTAAGCCTATTTGATTTGTTTTAGATAGGCACAACATGTTTCATATGCAGACCTTATTTTCCTGTTCCATGTTAAAATAAACCATTTTCAGTGGTACCTACTGCTGAGAAAGAGAACTTTTTTTGGTCATGGAAAATTAGGTAAAGGTCATGGAGAAGTCATGGAAAATCATTGGTGAAAAAGTGTATGAACCCTGATCATTTCATGTTATTGTATTGCCAAAGCCGGCCAAGGAAACACTCACAGAAATTGAAAGTAGTATTTGACTAAAGTTGCGGAAAAAACGGACCTTCAGACCTTCTCTATGTGCGGTCAGTTTATTTCATACATAATAACCTATACCTCCATTATAGTGGCAATGCCCTAGTTTGACTTGAGTGCTGATTTTTGGGATAAAAGACACGCAAATGTAGTTCTCTCTATGTTTAGGACGACTACTAAAGAAACACAACCAATGACACAACAGCCAGGGATATGTTTTGAAACAGTGTCACTATAAGTCTATTTCTGCTATAAAATGTTCTGCAGAGTCTGCATTTGCTTGTCACAAATGAAAAAGAAAAAATCAACATATACTTTAATTATTGATTTCTCTATTAATCTTTCATTTTGGGATTAATTATGTAGTCAACAGATGTCATACATTAAATAGCTGTGCCAATTCTGCATTTTTGTAGCTGATATGGATATCAATATCTGACTGTCTAAATAAGCTTTTATTTTTGTGATGGTATTTGTTTCTTTAACATAAACTCATATCTTTCTTGAACAACTCCCTTAGATTTGGTAATAATAATTAAGATGAAGATTGATATTAAGAGGGTACATTTACTGTAATAAAACCAACATGTCAATGAAAAAGTGACACTGTTTCTAAATGATTAGCCAATGCAATTATCAGTCTATCTCGATCACCATTTTAATCAGATGCTGAACCAAAACCTTCCCTAAAGATATAGAGGACAGTGTTGACACTTCTTCTGAGATATCATTGTCTCTCTGCAGTGCATTGTGGTCCAGTTGGGAAATAAGGTCAACACAAAAGGGAACATTTAGTTTGCTTGAGTCTTTTAATTTCGTACAGTCTAATGATCAGGTTTAACAGACCCCTCGCCTCCTCAGACTGTCTGAGCGGCGTGGTCTCAGAGAGCGTGACATGATTAAGGCGGCCATGACATTGCTTGGTGTTCGAAGATTGCTGCTCTTCCCCCGATGCTCTCAGCAGCCAGCCATAGTTTAGTGTAGCGCTTCTGTTCTCTTCTCTGGGAGCTTTTGCATAGAGGAACTGACGAATATTAGCTGAGAAATAAAGGCTGCAGAGGAGAAGGTATTGCTGTCCTCCCATGTGGCCGGAGAACAGGCTGCATTATTGACATCTAACCAAAGAGGAGATCTTATCGGGGAAAAGGAGATCCACTCCAGGCAATGGCCTCATTTATGTATGCTTCATACCAGTGTGTGTTACTGAGTGAACCAGCCAGCTTACAGTCCGTCTTAATGCCAAAAAGCTTATTTAAAATCCTAAAGTAGGCTGCTGGCAACCAGCGTCACAATTCATCCTTAATTATTAATTCATAGCATGGACTGCATTTTATTTACTCTACACACTGCTGGCTTTAAGATGAAATTGTTTGGCTTAATACTAACAATCAAGTTGACCTTGAAATGTACGATTTTTCTCTGGTTGTCAGCGCAGAATCAAATATATTCCCCCCCCCCCCCCCTAGAGAAGCCTGCTCAACATGAATTGTGTGTGTGTGTGTGTGTGTGTGTGTGTGTGTGTGTGTGTGTGTGTGTGTGTGTGTGTGTGTGTGTGTGTGTGTGTGTGTGTGTGTGTGTGTGTGTGTGTGTGTGTGTGTGTGTGTGTGTGTGTGTGTGTGTGTGTGTGTGTGTGTGTGTGTGTGTGTGTGTGTGTGTGTGTGTGTGTGTGTGTGTGTGTGTGTGTGTGTGTGTGTGTGTGTGTGTGTGTGTGTGTGTGTGTGTGTGTGTGTGTGTGTGTGTGTGTGTGTGTGTGTGTGTGTGTGTGTGTGTGTGTGTGTGTGTGTGTGTGTGTGTGTGTGTGTGTGTTGCAGTGCGTGTTGCAGTGCAGCTAGAATTCATTTATCATGTAGAAACCCAAAGCTGCAATGTGCAACATATAAGCCACACTGCCTCAGAAATAATGTATAAAGAAGCGGGTTGCAGCAGTAACACCTTTTCTATTTGCACTGATTGCACAATGCCCAAATAAGATTTTGATTCATTTCAAAGCAATAAGATGTTTATTAGAATCTTTGGTTGGCAGTCTGTTAGTATTTCTTTTGAAAAGGCAACTTCTTTTGTCCAATCTCAGAGCCTTAGGAAGTGCTAAATAACTCGGAAGTCTGTTTCTTCTCGATTGAATAGTGATTCGGATGCCTTTGAGCTCAGTGCTGAAAGGAAAAGGCAAGCGGCCCATCTTTCTTCTCCTTCCCCTTTCAAAAAATAAGCCTGCATTAGCTTGAAATGGAAATATTCACACTGCCGATATAAAGTGTATTTCGAATGAGAGCAGTGTGTGGGGAGAGTAGTTAAAGTTTGATTGGGTGTAACCTAGCCTGCACTCTCTTTAATGATGTAGGGAGTGTCCCCCTGAAAATGAAAACTCTACTCTCTCTCCCTCTCTCTGCCCTCTCCTTGGCCCATACGGCTGCTTCTACAGTGTTTCTTTCCCGTTGCACTATCTGAGATTGGCAGCCATTTTGCCTGTCGCAACTCTCCTGTGCTATGTGACACCGTTTGGGGCGAAGGGTCCCAGGACATTACCCTAAGGCAAACACAAACCCCTTTAAAAACCATCCTTCTGCTCTTGTAATCTGGTTTGCTAAATACTCCCGTTCTCACACCCTCCTTCCTCTTCTTTCTATATCTGTGATACTCCCTCCCTTTCTTCACACACATTTCTTGGATGCCTCTGGTTTCAAGACAAGGAGATTTGACTTGCATGAGGGTCTTGGCCTATGCATCTCTCCATTTGAAGGAGCTCTCTGCGTGTGTGTGTGTGTGTGTGTGTGTGTTTTGAGCTCTACGTGCGGGGTGTGTGCTGTTGTGTATGCTAATGCCGCTTGGTCTTGGTCCTCGGGATCAGACTGGAGATGACAATCCGGGGGGCGCATTGTGTGGGCCAGCTCACTGAGCTCCACAGATGGGAGGAGAGAGAGAGGGAGAGCTGTAGACAGAAGGAGAGGGCCGCCATCCACAGCCTCGCTTCACTTTCAACTTCATTTTCCTGTTCGCACTCCACAGATCCACTATGAAACCAGCTTTTGTGAGTATTGATTCCCCTTCCAGGCTGCAGATCCAATGGAGGATCATTAATCTTGTCTTCCTGCCATGAGTGAACTGAATGGGGAAATAATTGAAGCTTTCTAGCATTTCCTTGGATAATATATTTCTTGTTAAGCCTGTTCGATTAGCATGCGCTCATGGCTAAATACGGCACAATAGAACAAGAGGTCTCCCTCACGTTGTTCTTTTGAGTGTGTTCTTTGAAATACATTTTTTTAAATCAACAGCCAATTCATGCATTATCTCTTTGTTCTGTTTTTGCCATGTTCTTGATCTCATTGTGGATTTGTGCGGAGCTTTTATTTTCCGTCAGGAGACAAGTGGCCTTGCTGTTTGTTCCAGAGAAGTTTTGTCGATTTGACCTGCAGAGATCAAACCGAACTTTGGGTGTGTGTGTCACGGCCTGGAGCAACCAGCAGGGTCCATCTATTCTCTAATCCCCATCAGGGGAAACACAGGAGAACCACAGGGAGCTGAGACATGCAGCCACTACTTAGTGTTTGTCTAGTCATTGGAACGAAAGAGAGGCTGCCCTCTCTCTTCCAACTTCTACAAAGGATTTCAACTTAATGGAAGGTTTTATATATATTTCTACATCCTTTGGGGGTAATTTCACAAAGTTTTGGAGGTTGTACAGAAGGGACAAAAGCATGTCCTTGGGCTATTTTAGGAGGATGATGATGGGACTGCTGACAGAGCTTTGTCCCACTGTGGCATTGAGGTGTTGGCACCCTCTTTAGATGGTGGTGCGCTTGTGTTCCCCTTGATACACATTCACTAGTAGTCCATAGTTTTCATCCAAGCCTTGTTTTGGTGCCAGCTTGCCAATTTGAGGCCGGTGGTCCGGGCACACTCTCTCTCTGCTGCAGCCTTTTGTTTCACCCTGAACAAGCTCTGCCAGGCGTCCTTTAGCTCTCCCCGTCTCTGAGATTTAGTTTGGCATTGTTCAAGTTTCTCAAGGCTGAGAAAGAAAGAACACTTTTCTTGAAACCCAGTCTTCCTGGAGTAGCTGTCCTGCTGTGAGAAGCATGATAAATGGGTCCATGTGTCTTTAATCTCCCGACCATCTCCCATCACCGCTGGCTCTTCAGCTGTTGACCTCCGCCCCTCCCCTGACTTCTGACCCTCCTCTTTGCATCTCCCTCCTCATGGCGAGTCCAGCTCACAATGGACGCCTCTCCATTTCAGGTCTCTGTATTGATTCGATCCTGCAGCACAAAAACACATTCCTCTCCCTCTCCTTTATTAATTCTCATTGCATCGAGCTTCTTTGTCCTCGACCATGAAACTCAGAAGCTCTGTCTTGTAGTGGATGTGTTTTACCTTGAGGAAATCATTGTGCCGTGTCCCCTGATAAGGATATATTTACGCAGCTCCAGCAGTATATCACACCTGCCTTCCACAGTAGCTGCTTCTGAATCTCGGCGGAGCAGCCAGTATTCCCTTTTTTGTTAAACTTGTTAGTTAGGCTGATACACCAAGACTAAATCAAGAAAAATCTTGGTCAGTTGTCAGATATTATCCTTATTTCTTTATTCTTATACACTGCAGCGTGAGGCATTTAGAAAGTTATCCTGAGGTTGATTCAGATGCATCAATAGAAGGGAAATGAATATAACAACCTCTGCTTCAGTGTTTAAAAGTACATGGTATCCCCTGCGAGCTGAAGAAACAACCTTGGCATTTTGATTGCATGTCAATTTTTGATTGCGCTGTATTCTGCTCGTTGCTGGGAAAGGATGCCACCGACATGAGGATCATTCTCCCTTCAGTAAAGACCTCGGCCACTTTATGAGATGAGATCACAGGGGCTACAACTGCTTTGTGTGTGTGTGATTTTACATATTGGACCCCTGATTAATACCAGTGTACATCAGCAGCTTTCTAATTGTCCTGCTAAGGCCTAATAATTGAGGTTATTAATTAACTCAAGAGCCAGATCTTTTTCTCAGACAATGATATAGACCAAAGTCAGAGCTTAAAGAGGGTGACTATTGGATTTATTTTCATCACATGTCGAGGGACACAACTCCAAATAAACAATTATGTTAGTCTTTAACTGGAGTATGTGTACATATATCATTTTGGGATCTTCTCATCCGACTTTCTGCAAGAATTCAATCTCCCAAAATCTGTTAGGGGGTAGGGAGAAAAAAAGAATGAAACGCTGCGTACCTCTTACACCCAAAGTCAAATAAGGACACTTCATTATTGGCAATTATTCCTCAAATATTAAAGCCAAGCACCCTGTCGTCCAGCTGTTTCTACTGCATATACCTGGTTTTAAGTGAGGGTATGGCGAGGATATTTTCTGTTTGGTTAAGCAAAGTGAAACCACTGACCCATGAAGAGACACTCTCTGAAAACAGAACCTTTTTTTTTTTTTGCTGACTCATCCTCGTTTGCTCAGTCATTCCTCAGGTAGGAGACGAGCTGCCGACTCATCGTCCACTCTTCTGTTTAATGACTGAAGTAGAGACGTGTGGTGATGATAGATGGAGGTTATTTGACAAGCTTGTGGGACTAATCTACCATCTGGTCAATATGGTGTATTTTAATCAACAGTATGGAGAAGGAACACCGGGCAGATGGATAACGTAAATGTTGTGATCCACTTTGTCTCTCACCTCTTACTAGAATTACAGTTTTTTTCTCTGATATGCTTAGGATTAATGTTGAATCTAAAAATAACAGAAGGCAGTGTAAAACATATGTTCAGCATTGTGTGTGATCTTCAGGACGGTGGATTCTTCCATTGATTTTTCAATAATTGTATCATAACAAACACATAGCTCCTTCTCTAGATATGTCTAATTTTCCATTTGTGTGTTCAGTTGAATGTTTTCTGTACTCTGTAGGGGATCTTTGTATAAAACAGGCTGGTTTAAAGTCTAGTAGGTACACGGAAGAATGGCAAAACAAAACCTTGAGTTCTCTTTTAGCAGAAACCTACGACTTCTTCCATCACCAAACACAGAAGATCTAATTCCGTTGACAGCGTAAGAAATGCATCCTTCATATAAATATCTCGTGGTCCTTTTGGGGGTTTGGCTCTGTCCTCTTCTGGGGCATGCTCTGTGGAGGTAGATGGGATCCTTTCAGGTTTCATGAACCCTTTCGAATAATATCATCTCAGTAATTATTCATTTCTGCTTCTAAGCAAGTCTAAAAGCTCTGATTTAACATTTACTGTCCGGTCTAACAGCAGCACAGAAAGGTAGATGGATGGATGGTTCTTCAAAGCTGGATTTCTCTCTCTGACATTTCTTTTTCATTTAGATGCTATCTCACTTCTAAGCATCCTTGTACAGATTGATGATGATATCCTAAATGAAGACTTTTGATGATAGCACTAATTGCCTTATTATAATGAGATATATTATTTTTCATGGCTTTAAGTGAAGCAGCCAGGACTTTTGCCTCAGATGAAATATTTCCAAAAGCAATGGTAAAGAGTTATATACTCTATTTTATTAAAAGTTTTTCAATGACACCGCCTGACAGGTGTGACGACAGCCCTGTCTGTCTCTCCTTTTTTCTTTCATTTTTCTGCACTCAATGTCTATGCATACCGTGGTTATAGTTGAAAAGGGGAGCCATGTTTCTATGTGGTGACAGGCGTAATATTGCATCTCAATTGCCCTCTGCTGCTTCGGTGCCCTTATGAACGCATTTCAAGAAAATGTTCTTTTTGTCCTTGACACGTGAATGTCAGGGACCATGCTTGATGAAAACACAGCAGTAATAGATACATGCATTCTGTAGAAATGCATGAAACTATTGCAATAAACCATGGGAATCTGGGTATCTTGAAAGTTAGAGTTATTGCCCTTTCTTCTGAGGCTCTCTGAGTATTATTTTAACCCCTTCTTTACTTTGAATTAAAACCCTCATCTGCCTCAAAATCAACAGGTGTGTAAATGTTATTGAAGCAACCATATGACACAGTCAGAGAACTACTTTCTCTGAGATCTTTGTAAATGAAAGGAAACTATAAATCACCTGTTTCTTTATTGTTTTCTTAGACTTGACAGCTTTTCTCTTAGCTTGATTGCCCTGACAAAACGTTTGCTTTGTGATTAGATTTCTTAGACATCCTTTGCAAATGGGTTTTTATTTGGATGAAACACTGCTACCTGCAGCCAAGAGCCGATATACATGAGCTTAATGCTGAGGCCACATTTAATAAATGAGATAAAAAGGCAATCAACCACGGCGCCGTTGCTTCAGATACCCTTCAAAATCTTTATTTTTCTCTCACCATAAAAGCACTTTAAATGACTTCTCTCTCACTTAACGTATCGTTAACGCCGTTATTTGCTTTTTGCCGGGAGACTGTTACCTTTGGTGGTTAAGTGTTTACGGCATGGGGCATGGGGCATTTCTCTGGATGTTTTTATGGTGAGAGGTGGAGGCTAAACTACATTTGCTCCTACAGCTTCTTATCTCCCTCTTCTGTCCCTGCCCTCAGATCGAGAAGATCATGACACTGATTGGTGCTGGCATCGATTTTTCCAGGGATCAGCAATATGCTACACCAGGTAGAGTATAATCATCATTGTCCTTTCATGCTGTTAAATGTTAATCAACACCTAGAAATTGTGTCTATGTTGTGATTTTTTTCCCTCTTCATGCTGATTTGTATCTATTTCTACTTTGGCACACTGAGAATCAGTTGCCTGCATTGCCTCAACACATTTAACTACCTTTTTAGTATGTGTCGCACATGTTTTTATTGTCACTGGGTCTTCTTTATCGTTGCCATATTAATATTGCACTTTACATGCTTGGATTTGCTTTAATTTGATCCTCCCGAGTTGTTTGATAGGTGGGCTCATGGGAAATCAAGAGCCTGGGACTAGCAGTCAATGCAGAAGGCGTCCAAGACGAATTGCGATTCAGTTAGCAACAGACAATTAGGTAGATGTGTGTAATGCTGATAGACAGTTGGTCTGTTTTAATAGAACAGACAAGGAGTGGTATGGACATTAGCAGCCCCTGAGGAAACTAAGAATACTCTTTTGAATAAGGAATAGTGAACACAAAGGACCCTTATTGGATTAATTCATCTTGTTCTTGTTTCAAAGCAGTGGTCTCTCTCTTGTGTGTGATAGAAACCAGGTTGCTTTTAAGTACAGTCTCTAAACCTTACTCTGAAAGCACCAGGAGTATTATAATTTGAAAGACCAAAGTGCCTGAGAGACACTCTATTAAATTGCTCTCTGTAAAATAATGTATTTGTTTTAAAGCATTGTGTACCTGCTCTCCTGGTATTCTGTAGGCTTTTCAAAAGCCCGTCGTCATATGTGATGGATGTTGCCCTGGGAGCTGCTGCAGTAAACCCAAACAATTGACTCCTTCCCTTCAGCTTTCACATTCATCATTCACCTCCAGGTCACACTTTTCCTCAGTCACATTGTACTGTAAGCAATGCAGTGGTTTTACAATTGTGTTTTCTGCCCTGCACTGGAGTGAGCTGTTTAAATATTAACCAGTAAGCATGTCGGGGGATGAGCTCATTTTGCTTTGTGGACATAAAGAAAACTGAGACCACTGCAGTGAAGTAGTTAGCGCCCCGGCATCTGTGTGGTCTGAACATGTCTGAATCCACTCCTCTGTATATGTGAGACTTAATCTTAAAGGTCACCTATTATGCAAAATCCACTTTTTCATGTCTTTTATACATAAACACGCGTCCCGTCTGTGTTGAGAGATTCTGAAAGTTTCAGGAAAAAAGATTCTCTCACTTTTTGTCCTGATCCATTTATATAAAAAGCTGTCTGAAAATGAGCTGATCAGATTTTGGCCACTTTATGATGTCATAACGTTTTTTTGGCTTGTGTAACCATTAGCCAATCACCAAGGTAACACCCAGCCACCTTATCACCTGAATCTCCTCCTAGAGCACCATTGTGTTCTTTTTAACCAAACATCTCTCAGAGGGGGGTGTGGCTCCTTATTTTCATCTAAAGTAACAGACACAGAATCAGCACTTTTGAAACAGGGCTGAAACAGAGGGGATTATGGGATGCTACAATGCACGATCTGTTTGGTGTTTCAGCCAAACACTTCAGAGACATGTTTTGTATCTGAGAACTATAATATATTAATGAAAAACAGTATAATAGGGGACCTTTAAATCTTAAAGCCACCGTGTCCAGAAGAAGCTGCTGTCAGGAGGCCATCAAGAGACTGGCTAGAGAAGACCTTTGAAGACCTTCGATGCCCCCCCCCCCCCACACTCTGATTCAGACCAGTGTTTGCCTTCTCTCTGTGGTGATTGGAGTGCAGCGAAGTCTCTAGCTGATTGGGTCTGAGCCTGCAGTCTCTGGTACTTTTTTCCTCTCGACTGATTTACTTCCACATCAGAGGGAAAGAGATGATGGAGGAGGGTGAAAAGAGACAGACTTTTTTATACAATCACAACTGCATGTAATAAGGGAGGTGGGGGGGTCTGTAGATGGGAACTGTAGCTTGCACTGACATAGAGCAGCCACCTGCAGTGTTTGAGAGAGAGTATGGTTGGTAGGGAGGGAGGGAGGGAGGGGTGGGGAAGCGTGCAATGAGGGGAGAGAGAGAGAGAGAGAGAGGGAGTAAGGGAGGAAAGAAATATTGCAGGCAGCAGAATTGTGAACAGCAGGACAATAGAAGGACGCCGCCGCGGTGTGTGTAGGATGAGGTGTTTCCTTTTCAGCTCAGAGTGAACTGCAGATGTTTTTTTTAGGAAAGTGGACCTGACCACATCCCACAGACTGTCCCAGACTGAGGAGACAGTTGGAGCACTCTTTCTTTCCGGAGTTCATTCTGGGGGCCGGCTATTTCTTAAGTATGCGTTAAAGTAGCTTGTGGGATCCTTCACTGGATTTTCATTCATTTTTCTTCCTGACACATTTCCAAGCGTCTGCAGCGACCACAATGGGATCTATGACGTGGGAATCTCCTCTGAAACGGGATTGGTTTTGCGCCAAGTTAAATAGATGATGAGATCACTGAAAAGGGAAAAATAACATTTATCTACATTTTACTAGTAATTTGAGTTTTGATCTTTGCTTGTTTGTTATTGTTATTTGTCAGCTTTTTTGATGTGTTGTCCTAAATGGAAAGCAAATAAAGGTAATATATAACTCTTTCCTATCAACAGAAAACACATTTACTCATTTATCAAGTTAAAAGTTAATGGTAATTTAAGGGTGTGATAGCTGAAATCCCACCGCAGAACATGTGTTTTTTGCTTCTGAATTGTGTTGAATTGTACCAGTAATATGTAGAGGCAGTAATCTGTCTTCGTTCAGGGTTAGGCTCCTCTGGGCTGCTGACAGCCGTCAGTGTTGCTTTTGGTCTCAATCCATCTCGGCTCATGACAGACTTGTTGTGCGTCCTGCTGCTTCCCCTGTGAGCGCTGTAATGTTCTCAGGTAGATTCCTGTCTGGACTGTTCGTGGTGCTCAGCAGGCTGGGTCTTTCAGTCAGAGTGCCTGTTTACTAATTAATGACGAGTTTCCAAAGAACTTTCCATGTTGCTAAGACACATCACCCTCTCTGGAGTAAGGTGTGTCTCTCCCTCTGGGTTTCTCTTCATAACAAAACTGGAGCTTCACTAAATCAGCTGCAAGCTTTTACCTTTGGACACAGAATGCTACCTCCTGACCCTGGACATTTGGACTTTTCTCCCAAGTTGGATATGAACGGTTTGTTACGTTTGCAACAGTGAAGTGATGCAGAGTTTTGTTGATGGGGAATGTGTTCTGGGCAGGTCCCCGACTGACTGTCATAGCTAAGATCTCTGTTCACATTAGCTGGTAGTCCACCAGCTCAAACCCATTTATCTCCTCCTTCACCCCTGGGATCAGGGGCACTTTTAGCCATCTTGGGTGACTGTGGTCCGGCCCCCGCTGCCCTGCGGGAGCTGACGCCCTGTCCACAAAGGACACTGTCTCCCCCGCCAGGCTCTTGTTGCGGATGCACTCGGCTCTGCTGGCCGAGAATGATGTGGCAATGCCACGTCTCGTCCTCAGAGTGCCGCTGCTACCGGCTGAAAGGTTTCTCCCTCCTGAAGCGCTTTCCCCTGTCAGCAGGTGCTGCGGGCCGGCTGCTGGAGCAGCCTGTGGGCGACTGGCTGGAGCACGTGGGGCTGCCGCAGTACGAGAGCAAACTCCTGCTCAATGGCTTCGACGACCTGCACTACATGGTGAGTTCCTCACTTCTTTTATTAGGTCCAAATTGACCTTTATGCTCTTGACTGTTTAATGTACTTTCTTTCTTTGTCTTTGCTCACTTTCATAATCTTTTTTTTCTTGTCTTTCACTGCTTACTCATACTTAACCTCAGTTTGTTTATTTGTGTATTAATCCAATTGATGCCTCCCCCATTAGCTGTGAGATGATCCCATTAGGTTTGTCTAAAGTTCAATTAGCTGAAATCCTGTAACGACCTCTGGTCTTTTTCATGAGTTTTTTTTTTTAAGCAGCTGCTGCAATATATTGATATGGGAACTGTGTATTCTGGGTGGATTCAGCACATCATTTTATATCTCACCTTACATCACAAACTTTATAAATATCTTAATATTCTGTGCGTGATTCAATGACATAACTTTACCTCTCGGCTCTCCGGCAGAGCCTTGACTGATGTTTGCTAGATTTACAAGTTCATTCAACCAGACAATTTGCAGTTTTATCTTTGCTGTCAAATATTTTGTTTACGGGAACTTTGACATCATTACGCCCCGTTGCGTCTTGAATCAGGTTTATGCTGCACTCTTAGGCTCTCAGACAGTCTGTCTCCATCTCAGGGGCCGGCTGTCCGTGGCCCCTGACCGGAGAAGCCGCTAAACCCCGGCCAGAATGAAGGAGCGTCTCGGTGAGCAATGGGATGTTGTTGCCAATCCGACAGTCGATGGAGCTCAGAGTGTGCGACGCCACTATGAGTTGGCTCTGTGGCTCGTGTCAGTAATGAGGACTGATGGAGGAGAGAATGAGAGACCCAGCTGGTAGGCTGAGCCAGTGGGCATGTTGGAAATGAGACAGACGCTTTGTGTGTCAAGATGAAAACTCTTTCCTCCTCCATCAGGCCTATCAACACCTTCACTGTTGCACTGGAAGAGACATTTGTTAGCTGTGTTTCATCCGAATAAAATCATAGATTAGATGGTATGTGAGCCACTGTAGCTTATTTCTTTGAAGAGACCCTAAAGGTGGAAATCCTATTGTCTCTTCTAAAGAAATGCAGAGCAGCATACCAAATGTAATTGCCCGTGCAGAGACAAGTTATATTCCTTGTTTTTTATGACCAGTGCTCCTGGAAGCCAGACTCTTGACAAAACCTTGGTCTTTGATCTAGCTATTTCATAACTTAAGTTAGATTTCACTTAAAATGTGTGACCTGTATAACTGGCAATATCATTGTGGACTTTTAAGTCGCAATCTCAAACAAAGCCACATTTGTAACCTTCTCGCTCCTTAATATTGTCACATAGTGTTACCTACCTAAACCTTAAATCATACCCTGTTATATTAGGATCAGTTTGTATCAAATATTGTACTTAACTCTTTTTATGATCCAACAGATGTTTTCTGTGTGCCTGGAAAGATAGAATGTTTTCCAGGGGTGAAATCCATGTTAAAACTCCATATTTCAATGGACTATGAAATTATTAAACCAGGACAACTACCCTTAAAAATCATGCAGCAGTAATTTAATACGGTACAGAGGAGGGCATAACACGTTATGAAGAAGAGCCATCTTTCGTTCATTAATTACAATAGTGATGAAGTTCCTTTTAGTCCATCATGAGTAATTGTTCCCCCTTCCCATGTACGGTATGTCACAGTTTAAAGGGTCACAGGTGGTTATTTGGTCTCCTCTTGTTTGGAGGGATGTTGTCTCCCTGATAACACTGGGTGGTCCATGTTTGTGTTTTGCCAAATGAAGGTCATTGTGATCATTGTTTTTAATTACTGTGTGTTCATTAGACTTGTAAATTAGGACCTGACTCCAGAGAGCATAAGTTGTCCTTCTAAGCAGCAATGTTTTACTCGTATGGATAGAATAACAACGCTAGAAACATGAATCCCAAAATAGATGTGAATGACTTGTTTCAGAATACATACACTGATACTTGCATTAATAATCTTTAATCTACTTTACATAACCTGACATAACCAGCATTCCAACATGTATCTGTCCCTTCATTCCCACCGAGCGTCACCAACACCCATGTTTAATTCTGTGCTGAAGCCTCTCGAGGTTTAATCTTCCTACTGTCTTTTAGTCTTTCACTCTCACACCGTATTTAGCCTTGAGTATTTCCTGTTTCAAAGCAGAGAGCCGGTTCGCTTTCTATCATTCAACACGGCTTACAGACCACCTGGCTTCCTAAAATCGCTGGAGGATTTGGAAAAAAGCGGTAGGCTTTAAACAGCTTGTGCTTCTCTCAGTAAATGTGGACCTTTTTTAAGAATCACAAATTGGTGAGTGCGAGTTGCCCTCTGAATCACCTTCATCTCTGCCCAACTGTGCTTTTGTGCAGAAGAGTGGAGAGGCATCGTTGGCACAGTTACAAGACAGATTTATTTGTGTCTAATTGTATTAGTAGTTCCAGTCAGAGGCACAGATTTATGGAGCTCAAAACGTCCAATAGTTAATATATAGGAGAAAGGAATTGAGAAATAAATGTTTGCACTAATAGATTGTGTAAAATATAAAAAAGAACACACTTATTTGATTATATGTTGTATCTATATGTATTGACCCACCCAACTCAATGAAGTGACAGAATATCTGAAATTATGAGGACGTTTTTAAATGATCACAATGTATTGGTTCATTTATATATACTTGCTTCATACATCCATGTTTTTGTTAACTTCATGTTATTTTTATTGATTTATTTAATATAGAAGACTTCCGAGCTAAATTTGAAATTGACTCCAGCAGTTACTGTACATGAACTAAATGCATTCTCGTTATTACCACGCTGATCCAGTGTATCGGCTCTAAATAACACTCAAACTCATATGCTTGGTGTGTACAGATATACAAAAGTCTAATTATTGAGATAACACAGCCTAATATCTCTGATGTTATCACGTTTTTATGATAGACATCAGGAAGTCGAACTTAGGTGCTAGCAGTAATAGTTGTGTTCATCATTAAATGAAAAAAATAATCATCATCTGAGCAACACACTTTGGAAATCTCTCTCAAATGATATTTAGCTTTCTTTTAATTTGCCCATGGGTATGAGCAGCATATAAACAGGATGTTGTTTTTGCTATGTTTGTAAATGTCCTTTTCTTAAATGTTTTATGTGAGGGACTTGCGGATGGAAAAGTAGCTCAAAGCTAAATCCGGCATATTTACGCTTGGTACATTTATTGTGTTAAGTGTTCATTACATTTGATTATTTTTTAAATGTCCGCTGTGCAGTGAGATCACTAATGAAACAGTGTTTACTCTGGCCGTCAGACTGCTGTGATCTCTGTCTGTCCTGCAGGCTCGCTCCACAAGAGGATCAATAACAGTAGTGATTGTGTTGTGTTCAAGCACCGAAGCAGAGACAAGGCTCTTCTGAAACCAATTAGATGCTTTTTATCGACTCATGGAGCAAATGTACCGATGAAACAAGTCCATGCTGCACTCCGGCCCTCCATGGTACTCACCGGTAATGCCTGTTGAAACGAATCAGCTCTTTTTTCTCCCTTCTCTTCGTCTGAGCTCAGATTCTGCTGTCTGCCGTCAGCTGTGACGAGGTCAGCCAGCGGAGCTCCAAGTTAGTTTGTATTCCAGGCAACTGTGTCACCGATTAAAGTCTGCTGCGACAAGACTTTGTTTTATGCTCATAAAGACGGCTTGAGAAGGAGTCATTTACTTTAGTTCAATGTCAGTAGAGGTGATTTCAATCTTTTGGTTTCACGATGATGAGAGAAGAATCAGACGAGGCAACATCTGTTTATACTTCAGCATTTTCTTCCTCCGTTATTCTGTCCTTGTTGCTATTTTCTACAATCGAATAGATGCAAATGTTGGAGAGAGTCAATGCCACCAGAGCCTGCAGACAAATTGGAAACTCAGTAATGGCTTCATGCATTAGAAGCTAAAGGATTGGGAATGGATTCATTGATTTTCCTGCTTGTGTAATGGTGGAGCTGAATAGTTTACCTGTTGGATAAACATTTGTGCAGGAATTAGATTAAATACATGGTTCATTTGAAGACATGTTTTTATTATCTTTGCACATCCGTCAGCTTTTAATAGTCCTGTGTTGTCTTATTACGGCCTGTTAAGGATGACAACGTATACGTTTCTCTGCTGCTGGTTAGCTGTCCTTTAGTCCTAATGAGTGATCCGTGCCCTCGAGCCCCTGGCCTGAATTCAAAGTGCTTTTAAACCAGAGGGTGTGGCGGCTCTCTGAGAGCGAGGAGAGAGCAGCATCTTAATGAGAGGAGAGGGGAAGGCAGAGATGGATGAGGCTTACAAACACACACAAAACCACCCAGTTTACAGATCTACTTTTTTCACCCAAGTTGTGCTTATGTCAACTTCCTGTAAACTAATGAATTCTCTCTGTTAGACCACTGTTAGAAAAAGTGGAACCACATTAGTCAGAATTTTCACACAGATTTGTCACCGCCACGTCTCGCGAGTTTTTGTTTTCAAAGTCTTTGAGTGGGGATGAATGGCTTATCAAGATAAAGCAGAGGTGAATGTAATGTTTATGTGGCAGGAGATGGGAGTCTCATACACTACTTTTCAAGTTCATTCAGTAACTTCAGGTAGCAAAATGTGGAGGATGGCTTTATCAATGTAATCATCAGTAAATGGCTCTATGAAACCTGATGTACTTATATGATTCTGTTTTCTTCAAGTTTGTATCTTCTTGGTCGAATGCACTTATTGTAAGTCGCTTTGGATAAAAGCAAATGAAATGTAATGTAATGTAAATCTGGATAAAATAAATTATTTTCTTTATGACGAAGAAAAGCAGAAAATCCTTAAATGTTATAATCTGAAACCAGATTATGTTGGGCATTTTGCTTGAAAATGTGATAATAGAAAATAGTTACAGATGTTGATCAAGTATAGGATTAATCAACCAACCTTTCAAAGGATTAATGATGGATTGAAACAAAACTTTTAAATCTTCTCAACTTCCAACATCGTCATGTCTTTCTATGTGAGGATACTGCAGCTACAGATTTTGTCAATTTAATTTATGATTAATTATTGAATACCCCGGACACCCATATATTAAATCAACAAAGATACCAAACAGGAGGTGCTAGCAGTTGGGAAATATATGCCTTTTAATTTACTTGACAACAGCCTTAAATAGTAAAGTAATTATTCAAATAGTTGGTGATTGATAGTTGTTAAATTAAATAGAACATTAATGAATGGACTCATTTCATCTCGAATGTCTCCAACGTGGCCCAAAAGGTCATTTTCAAAACGGATTATTTGTTCTGGGGTTTTCACTTCAAACATTTTCACACACCACAAAATCTGCAGTGCCAAAGCCTATTATTATTTAAATATGTTCTTTCTTGTGCTTACCTCAGTGATGGATTACAAAAACTGCTTTTTAAATTCTCTATGAAGTTCCATAACAGAAAACTTTGGGTGCAACCAATCATAAAGCAGGCGCTCACACAGGAAACCAAAGAGCTGCATTAAAACACTTCTACTTAAAAGTAAAAAGTGCAGGAAACAACTCGGGGAATGTAAGCAGAGACTGTGGATTCAGTCTCTTCAAACTGCATTTCCCCCACAGATCCATTTATCAGTTCATCTCCAGTGGGAGAGTAATGCAATGATCCATGTACTGTGAAAGCGCTATTATCCACCCAGCTCCCCAAATAGTCTCAATCCTCAGCTGGAGAGGCATGGATCGGTGTGTTGCTGCTCACAGATAATGGGCTTTAAGTCGTCACTTTAATGCAAGGCATTAGGGAACCAAAAGAGATGCGTCACGATGTCTTGTGCTGCTCAAAAGGAGCTCTAACTAGGGCCACGTTTCACCATATATGACATAACATCCTGTCGGAGCTTATGCTCTCATAATGCACCTAACTTTTCATTATTACTGTCTGTCTGTTTCGGTTTTACTGCATCATTTTAATCATCAGTAAATCTGCATTTTATATATAATTTAGTTTTGTTTGGCACATCTTCAATCCAAAAACAGAAAGATATTCGGCTCAATTTCCAACAACGACATGTGTTAGGGCTTCAGCTTCATTCCATCCATCTTTTCTCTGTTTTTCTGTCTTCTTTCTGTGCCTTCTGTTTTCCCTCTCTGTAATTTTCTGACCGTTTATTATTATAACCTTTTTCTCAAATCCCCCGTGACATACTCTATGAATGTTTTGTCATTGTAGAACAGCGAATCAGGGGCTAAAATTGCACTTAACATTGTGATCTTACAAACGACTTTACACAGATTACTCTGCAGTTTTTCCCCTCGCTGACAGCTCCGCTCCTCACCCTTTGTGCCCCTTGTTTGCATCTACAGCGTCTGCATGAAAAACAGGCTTTGACCTACAGACACCGTCTATCCCGTTACTGCTGCGTGTGTGTTTGTTGGTGTGTGTGTGTGTGCAGAGGTGAAGATTAACTTGAGGTTGATATTGAAGAGTCAGCCACATGAGCTGTCACAGTTTGTTCCTGAGGCAGCATCTCCCTCAAAGCATCATGGTACTTTAACATGAGATTCAGTTGCTGACCCAAGATTAACTTACAGCTCTTACTGACTCCTAACTGATCACCCGAGTAGTAATGATTTGTTTTAACTCATTTATTCTGACCACTAGCAGAGCTAACAGGACGGCACTAATGAGCGATGTTCTCTGCAGAAATGGAGGCTTTCCCTTCACATGTCTGGATGTTTTTGATTTAGTTGTTCCCTCTGAGGCCATCAGTTACAGTTAACTATCGATGCTGTGGCATTTTACCTCTGCATCTCATATTGCTGACCACTCTGCTCTTCTGACACTGATTGATCGCTCCTTTCTCCGTTATCCGTTACCTGCCACGCGGTCTCAAAGGTGCTACAGTGTGTAACAAAAGATGGGGGTGACCATCATTCACACACAGCTCCGTCAATCCCCTCCCCCTAACGCATACATCTCATTTAGGAGGTTATCAATGTGGCTCCCCTACTACAGTCACTAGGTCGGGTCCCAGGGAGTAATTGACCGTTTTCTGCAATGGTGGCATTATGTGTGATCAATACTCCAGCACTGGCTATTCTGGAGCATTGATCTATAAGTTCCAATACGTTTTTGACTCAAATACCTTAATTGATGTTCTCTTGCATGTACTGCACAGTTCAATACTTATTTTAATACAGGCGCCGTGCCAGTGATATCCTTTAGAAATGTAGGCTTATATCATTTAACAGAGATGCTGTTTTGTTTTGTATTTTCTTCCATAGGGGAGCAATGTGATGGAGGACCAGGACTTGAGAGAGATTGGGATCACAGACCCGAGCCACAGGAAGAAGATCCTGCACGCGGCACGGTCATTACCTAAAGTGAGGAATCATTGATTCTAACTTCAATACTCATCCCAGCATTGCAAAACCTGATTTATTCTCATGTGTCTGATTATCACAAGGTGCTAATCTCGCCTGAATACCAATGCAGTACCGCAGTATATTTACCCAAAAACTGTCATTAGTATAATTATGCGTAACTTGCACCTATAGAACTATTGTATGTTACTCCTACTTCTACTACCCTACATTTAAAGGAAATATTCTACTTTTTACTACTCTGTTTATATTTATATATATATATAATTACCGGTCAGTAAACAATGGGCTTATACAATACCATGCATTGTTAATGGTTTAATCCAATGGATTCTAACTTCTTTGATTGTTATGCCTTACAAAAAAACATTGTCATCAGAATCAGAATCAGGTTTATTGCCAGGTAGGTTCACAAGTACGAGGAATTTGACTTGATGTCATGGTGCATACATAAAATATATGTCCAATGTCATGTATATTTGTTGCTCTAAAAAGTTGTTTCCCCTAAAAACTTTCATTTATTTTAATTCAAATTTAATGTCTGTTTTTTTAAGGCACTAATAAATGAAAATATCCAATATTTCTCTAAAGAAAGAGAAGTCAAAATCTATGTTTCCTCTTCTTTATTCTGCCACTTGCATATAGATAAACTACTGTAACTTCACTTACTGCAGACCAGCCACAACAATACAATGATACTCATACCTTGATGCATCAATAATGCAAAACTAATAATGAATTAAGTCAAAACATATCTTAACATACCTTACTTTTGATACTTAAAGTACATTTTAGTTGATAATAAATCTGTCATTTTACTTATTTGGACTGTAAAAGCAGGACTGTTAAATATGTTAAAAAGCACATTAGTGACTGTGTTGCTGTCCTGCAGGTGAAAGCTCTGGGCTGTGACGGCAGCGGCTCCATCTCCTCCTGGCTGGAGAACATGGGTCTGCACGAGTACTTACACAACTTCCTGACCAGCGGCTACCGCACTCTGGACTGTGTCAAAAACCTGTGGGAGCTGGAGATCGTCAATGTGAGTCACAGTGACGCACGCAGACTGCGAGGAATATCAGAGGGTGAAATTAGTTTTAGGGAAACTTCAGAGAAGGGACAAGTTGGACAGTTTACTCCAGCTTTAGTTTTGGGAGGCAAGAAACTGAAACTCTGGACGTTAATACACAGAATGTTGGTGTTAGATATTTGGGAAGAAGTTTAAAATGATCCGAAAACAAATCAGTAATATTTGAGGTAGTCCTATGAAGTATGAATACCTATATTTCACTAGTTAACAAGGATGCGTTAGTGAAAGTTATTAAAAACACATTTAGGTTTGGATTTAAGGGTTAATGTTTTTTATGACGAGTTTATTATCAGTGTCAGATGTGTCTTGGTCTTCTTCCAACTGTCATGGTCACATATTGTCCTTTGTCCTCTAGGTGCTAAAGATCTGCCTACTTGGTCACAGAAAACGCATCATTGCTTCGTTAGCGGAGAGGCCGTACGAGGAACCTCCAGTCAAGCCTCCCCGTTTGTCTCAGATCAGGGTAAGACCCTTCACACTGTTTTACCAACAACTTTCTAAAGGTTGAGTGACAGTCTAATGGTTTACCTTCCTCCCAGACTTGGTTTGCTTTTAGTCTAGGAATCTTGCAAAGTATGTGTTTTGGGAAAAATGACCATCACTGTTGATCATGGGACAACTAATGGTGTCTGATTCTGTCTCTCCAGTGCCAAGACCTGCCCGGATCCTCATCCCCCCTCAGTCAGATGGACCCCTACACAGGACGCTCAATGGACCCTCTGCTGCCAGTAGGAGAGCCTGGGAGGAAAAAAGTGCCAGAAAGTGACTACGACGCCCAAAGATATCAGAGCGATCGACACCGATCACATGTATGTTTACGTCTTTCCCTTCAGCACTACTTTATGTCCTACAGCAGGGGTGTCAAACTCAAGGCCCGGGGGCCAAATCCGGCCTGCGACTTCATTTTATGTGGCCCCACAAGAGCTTGCAAAGAATATTATATGTTTATTATACGGTTACATGCTACTTTACAGAAGCACGTTGCCCATAAACGACATGTCCCACAATGCATCTCAAATTTGACTTTTTCTCAGAATTTGACTTTTTTTGTCCAAATATGCCTTTTTTCTTAGAATTAGCCTTTTTCTCATAAATAGATTTTTTTTTCAAAATGTCGCTTCTCTTTTTCAAAATGTCACAATCAATGTTTTTCCAGAATGTGGCTTTTCTTTTAAAAGCATATTGTGACATTCTTACTGAAGAGACTTGCAATTATTTGCTCTAGACTTCTGCTTTCAGACGTAGTTAATTATGAAGTTATATTAATTAATGATATAGTCTTAAAGTTACAACCGGCCCTTTGAGTGCAACCATAATGCTGATGTGGCCCGTGATGAAATTGAGTTTGACACCCCTGTCCTACAGTATCTTCATGTCGTGATAAAAGTGAGCCACTGCCAGACTTATAATCATACTTCCTTCTTCCAGGATCGGTATGATGAGCGGCTTCGAGAGCCCCGTCTGACCCTGCGGCCGCCGAGCCTGGCCACCCCGTATGCCCCGGTGCAGAACTGGCATCATCAACCTGAGAAACTCATCTTTGAGTGCTGCGCTTACGAAGCCAGTGTATGTATACAACTCATTGTCCTTCCTATATGATGCCGTTTTTATCCATATATTCACCAACCTTTTCTCTCTCTCATTCTCCGTTGCAGTACCTCGGCTCCATGCTTATTAAGGAGCTACGAGGTACAGAGTCCACGCAGGATGCCTGTGCCAAAATGCGGGTAAATTACTTCTCGAAGCTCATGTGACAAACAATGCATATTTCTTTATGAGTGAGCAGTAATTCACCTTAATGTCCACTCTTTATACGTCCTTTTTTCCTCCAGAGGTCGACAGAACAAATGAGAAAAGTCCCCACCATCGTCCTGTCCATCACTTATAAGGGTGTGAAGTTCATTGATGCAGCCAATAAGGTAACTACTACATCCCATCCTGCTCAGTGTAAAACTCAATATCTTGACCCTTCATGCCTCGTGCAAATAGCAAGCATTTTTTGTAATATTTTGAGTGTCACAGCCGTAAATCCCTCTGCTTCTTTTCTGTGATTTGAAATGTCATGCCTGCAAATGTAGGTCACATTAGTTCCTGTTTGACTGGAAGCAAGTGTGCTTGTATTGACATTTATTTGACTTCAATAAATAAAGACATTGAAAGGTTGTCTTAGAAGCACAGCCTGATTTTTGATGTGTATGCCTACACTTTCCTGCATATTGGGATGTTATGTTCTGTTATATGAAGTCTTTATAGAGTGAGTCTTATGCCAACCCTCTCCTCTGTGCAGAACATCATCGCAGAGCATGAGATCCGGAATATTTCATGTGCAGCCCAGGACCCTGAGGACTTGTGCACGTTTGCCTACATCACCAAGGACCTGCAGACCAACCACCACTACTGCCATGTGTTCAGCACAGTCGACGTGGTAAGGATGCTCTTATTGTCCTATCAGCTTAATCTCACATAGTTTAAAGTGACCCTGAACAAATACTCATTATACTTCTACCTGTAGTGCTATTAATCAATCTAGATTGTTTTGTGTGAGTTCCCTGGAGGGAAAACTGCTTGTAACATAAACAAGGTGAAAATAATAAAAGGAGAATTTCAAGTGTTGCAAAAACGTCCTCACTGGTGAATTTGAATTCCTCCAACATCATGCCCCAGACTTGAACTGAGGAGAAGTGGCAGCTCGCATCGTCAACACTGTTATCTGGAGACGGAATTTTCTCAAGGTGTCTCGCTTCAGCTGCTGCCGATTGCCTCCTTGTAGACACAGTGCTACTCTGGCCATGATGACTGTCCCTCCTTAAACTACTCGGTCCCCCCTGACACCGGATGATTATCCTGCTAATCTTTCCCATAATGCACCAAGGGGCTTTCCAGGCTGAAGTCAGTTAAACTAGGCTCATTTTCCTCTTCGGGGCTTAAACGAGGGGCTTTGTCTCAGCAGTAATGCAGTCGGATAGCAGCTGCTGTGAGATGTGATTGGTTATTCTAAACTGTATTGACCATAGAGCTGCAACAATTAGACGACTTATTGATAAATTGATCTTTGAAAGTTGATTGAAAGCTTAAGTGGCTTCTAATGCAAAATAAAGCAAGAAAGTTCAGCCATTTAAATTATGGAGATTTCTATCTTTACTGTGTTTTATATCATGGTAAACTAAATATCTTTGCGTTTTGGACTGACAAAACAACATTTGAAGACATCACCTTGGAATTTAAGCAACTAGAATTTTCTCAGTATTTTCTGACATTTTATAGATTTGAACAACTTATTCATTAAGAAAATAAATAGGAAAATAATTGTTAGTTGCATCCATTTTTGACCATTCTGCTGCTACCATCCTCAACACATAGAGAGGGATCACAGAGCCGAACACGTCTGTCTGGTGCAGAAGGCACGAGACAAATCAGGGCATTAACTAAACAAGTTGAATAACAATATGCAGATGATTTCGTAACTCTGCGTCCTTTTTGTGTCTGTGTTCCTACCATGATTGCTTATCCAACTTTCCAAGGTATGCCGTGTGAAGCTTGAATGCTCCGTCTGAAGTCTGAGGTGCTTGATCACACTTGGAAGCTGTCAGTGTTTAACAATAGAGCGCAGCGTTCTAGTTAAGTTACTGCGGGGAGCGGTTTGCTGTTGCACAATGCTCTCAAGATTAAAGCCACTTCTCCTTGGTACAAAGACGTTTTATAGAATATGTACTTCATGCGTACTGCAAACAAAATATTGTTGTTCAAACAAAGCCGAGAATACCTAAAAAAGGCTGCCTTGCTTTTCCTCTTTCTCCCTCTCTGTGTAGAATCTGACCTATGAGATCATCCTGACGCTGGGCCAGGCGTTCGAGGTGGCCTATCAGCTGGCTCTTCAGGCCCAGAGGACCAAACAGCCCCAGAGCCTCCCCGTGGGCCCCGGCTCAGAGCTCATCGAGACCAAGTCCAGCCGACCTGTACCAAAACCACGAGGCAACGTACGGAAGTCAGGGGTAAGTGGACCTCGAACATAAATATAGCACAAGACACCATATAAACATTTTATGAGATAGTTTATTGGACATGATTAAATAGAGCAACACATTTAAGTTCTCCTCCTGTGGTGGAAGTATATTTTTCTGACCCTTAAATGCTTTTCCTGTTCATTTGGCAGTCATTTCAGGCTCTGTGTAGCACGCATGGTGCAAATGTGGGAGGAGAGGTGAGGGGTGCAGTCATCTCAATTTTATCTATAGGGGGTCTGCAGTATCATACTTTTTAAAAAATCAGCAAAATTCAATATCCAGAGAGAAAAAGAACACCTGCTATGTTTTCTAATGATAGACTCAAGCAGCAGGAGGTCAAAACTCAAGCAACACTTATTAAAGTACAACTTTATTGTGTACTGCAAATGTTGTTGGAGTTTTGACTTATTTTTCTTCTCCGGGCACTTTTAAAAGTAGGTCACTTTGTGCCAGAAATATTTTTCTCTATGTTCAACTGCAGCATATCACACATAACGGACTCGCCCTGACGTCTGATGTAATAATTACATTTTTTAAGAAACAGTATTCCAGCCTTTTTTAATCGAACCCTCAAAACACATTAGTAAAACATTTGTATCAGTCAACAGCTTCTCCCTTCATTATGATTACACTGTTCGGATGTCTTTCTTCCCATTAGCATAAACCCATTAAGAAGTGAAGCTTGTGCTGAATATAAATGAGATAAATGCACCTCAGGGAACATCGCACATCTCCAGCTGCTAAATGAAGTCGACAGAATCATGTTAAGAAAGTGACGTTTACTGACTCCTGTGATTCCCCTCACCTTTTTATTTGTATAAATGCCCCTCAGTTACACACCCACACCTGTAAGCCTCCCAGTTTATCTGCTTCTGTCTCGTGCTGCTCAAATCTCTCACATTGTCTCTCCTTTTATTCTCACTTCCTGTCTGTGCTGCTTGTCTTTCCTTCTTCCTCTCCGCTCTCTTGCTGGCCGTGTTGATCTCTCCCAGGACTCTCCTCCTCTGGACAGTCGCTGCTGTTACTGTCACACCTGCACCACCCATCGCCCCTCCTACGCCCCGCTGCACTATGCCAGCCCTGCCGCCCAGGTGCTGCCTCATCTCCATCCTCTCGCTCTTTGCTCCTCTCTCTGCCTCCCTACTTTATTTCACCTTCTCGCTGCCTTACAATCCCCCAGTATCCTCCATTTGTGTCTTTACCCCATGCTTGTCTTTGTGAATGTGTATTGCTGTTATTGTATGTCTAAGTGTAGTTTTTAAAATAAATAAATGTGTTGGTCTTTTCCACACTTGGCCACATGTGGACTGATGAATGTTACTTTTGACTCTGGCGTCCTCTAGTGGCTTTTTGCTAGTAACACATGCAGAACATTTACTGTGACAGAGAAGCCCATTCAGTTCCTCAGTGGATAGTTAATGTACCAAAGTTATTTCAGTTCAAGTAAAGGAACTTGTATGAAAATCATTACAAATTCTATTAAATAGATTAATGAAAAAGGTTTTAGATTGACTCACAAGACATAATTGGCAACGGAGATGAATGCATTATATTAGAGTGTATTCAAGACAAGGGTAAATCTGCATGCATCATTGAAACTGATTTTGACGCCGTGATCTAGTCCGAATGCCACTGGCCAAACATATATTTAAGTGATTTACTTCATTTCTGCAGCTGTTGAGACTTGGTGCATTGTCTTCGTGTCTACAGGGGGACATCGCAGAGCAGGAGGGGGATTCTCACTCCCAGGGCAGCGCCACGTGGCTCGTGGACCCCAAGGAATCCAAGCGCACTATCAGCACTAAGTACGAGACCACCATATTCTGATTGGACCCCTCTTCCTCCTGACCTCTGACCTCTGGGCCTGGTCTCACCCCTCTTCCTCCCCCTCGTTCTGTGTGCCTTTCACTGTGACTCTGCCTCTCCCTCTCTGGGCTGGGCCCCCCCCCCCCCGTCTCCCTCCAGCCAACACTCACCTTACACCGACACAGTCTGCGTGCTTTGCTCCTTCTGCTAATCCCCCACCGCTTCTTCACTTTTCAATGATTATTACCCTTCTGCTTTATCAACCTTCCTGTAGCTCCTGTCACTCACACTTCCAGCCTGCCACTCACCTTCACTGTAACTCCTCTCCGTTTTAACCCTCTATGCCCCCGAACTGCCCCTGAATTTTTGCACCCGTCAACATCCCACTTTTGACTCTTGGTGATCTTCTTTTATTGGTGCTTTTCCTGCTCTACTAGGCGACGGCCGCTCTGAGGCTTTTCTCTCTGATCTTTCAACTCCTGACTTCTCCGGGTGCTGAGCAAATCTGCTTCACCACGACACAGAGTGAGCCCCTGCACACATCCTGTACCTGGAGGGACATGTTTCCCGAGGAAACTGAAACACTGGTCGTGTAATTCTATGCGTCAGTTGGACTATAGCAGAATGTTAATGTTATGGAGCTTACACAGGATTTGCTATGGGGGACATTTTCACTGTCAGCGGTCTGCTTGAAGCCAAAGGAGGCCGAGATCCTAGCACTGTGATAAGGTCCATTCGGAGCTAATAATGGTAGCATTTTGGGGGGAAAAGGGGAACAGAATAGGGTATAAAAGCTGATAAGGACCCGCATGTAAGTGCTCCTTGTTGCTCCAGGAAATAGACAGTCCCAACTGTCTTAAGACAGGCATGCCCTGCTCTGTCCATCAATCAGAGCTCCAGGTTTGAAACCGGATGCTTCTGGAGAGGACTTACTATGACTAAGCACTTTTGCCAAATCTACAAGTGTGTAAGAACAAGTTCATCTTCTCCGTCTCGTCTTTTTTTTCCTTCTTCTTTTCACGACTAATGCCTTCTATGCTCATCCTGTCAGCATTGCCTTTTGTTTTGCCAATCACTACCTGGTTAATATTTCACGCCTGCTTGTGAAAAGAGTTAATCATTATATGGGAGGGGGGGGGTAATCCATCACCTACACGCTGTTTATTTTACTTTATTTAACCTCATTGCTTTGTGTTCGTGTTTCCTCTTCCTTATAGCTGAACACTGTGGCCACTCCCAGCCAATAAGAAAGGACAGGCATGAGCCCTGTTGCATTGTGGGTAGGATGTTTTGGTGGAAAAATGACCCATTCCCCATGCGGCAGAATCACATCACCACTTGGAATCGAGCTCAGCACTGTAACACACGGCCTGGATGTAAACACTGCAGATCAGCTGACATCCCCGACTTCATCACACACACACACACACACACACACACACACACACACACACACACACACACACACACACACACACACACACACACACAACACACACACACACACACACACACACACACACACACACACCCCCTCCATTTATCTTAATCGGAAAGTGATGGAGTCAGATGTTAGTGTTGCTTTTTGCATTACCTGAGAAATGAATTGAGGGTTGATGTTCTCTCTTTGAGGAAATGTACCTGCTGCAATGTCACAATGCAGAACTGGTAATAAAAGGGGAAGTGGCAGAGATCGGGAATATTGTTCTGTGTTATGAAACAAAGGTACTAACTACCAGACAGACACCTCACTCTGACGGTACACAGTCCTTCCTGGGTAATTTGTCCACACATTGTAGCGTCTTTTTATGACTGTCATCCACACATGTATAACTGTGATAAACAATGTAATCTTGCACGGGAGGAACTCTAACCAAACTCAAAGGGCAGAGGAACTGACACTACAAAGACTGTTTTATGATAATAATAATAATATAACGGGGGTGGCTTTTATATGATTTGAACGTTTTTCTGTATGTTTTAATTGTTTTAGAGGACAATAATATGTCCTAATGCTGGAACTGGATCGGCTGTGGTTCACTGCTGCTCCCTCTCTCCTTCCCTGCTCCTTTGTTCAGTTAATCCAGACAAGATTAATCCCCAAACCTGCCATGCAGCCTGGTATGTCTTCAGTTTTAAGATGCAGAAAAGAACAATAGGGCACAGCATGTTTCTCCTAGCTCTCTCCCAGTGTGTTGACTGTTAATGGTACATTTTGTTCAGCAGATAAATATATGGGTACATGGTCTGGTCCTTTTTGATTTAACTGTTGTATATGTGGTACATTGTCAGGCCAGTACGATAACTCTATGGTACTCTACTGTCTTCAGCTCGCTGGTGTCGGCACCTTCGGCCATCAGCCTGGTCCCGTTCTGCTTTTGCACATTGTTTAGGATCAGGAGAGATATTTCGGGACTAATCTGATGACAACAATGATGAGAATGATATTGTAAATGAATTCTAGCGGTCTGTATTTTGATACTTGAATGATTTTTGCTTTTATAGATATCTATATATATATGTATATGTATGTATGTAATTTTTGACGTTTGTCAAAAGAGAGAAAAGGACTATGTCTTATAAAGTTAAACATATCGTGAATAAATACCCTGTGATTTAAGAAAAAAAAAGGCTGAGAAAACAAAGACTCAGAAGAGGGACCTCACTTCAGAAAAAAAAGATTGTAAATAATCTCGGGCTTCCAGTCTTTTTTATGATTATTTTTCATAATTGTACAACTAATAAATGGCAAAATTAGAAAAAGCTGACTTCTGAATCTTTATTTGTCCAATTACTGATCTTGTGTTACGTTACCATGGAATGTTTTGCATTATTGTTTTTATTTTTGGTCGAATTTTGTGTCCGATTTTGAACACCTCTAGTTCTTCTGCCTTTCTGATTTTTTTTTTTTTTTTTTTTTACTAGATTAGCTTAATATGTATTTAGTACATTTTCCAAAATTGCCCTCAGGTTGTGTATTGACATTATTATTTTAAAATATTTGTATTCTTCTGTTGCCTAAATTCCCATCTGAAATTACTTTAGCGACAATTTTAAAGGCAAACTTCTGTTATTTTGTCTAAAACAACTCATTCACTAAAACTAGGTTTGTAACTGTATGAATACGGGAAATAAATCAGTCTGCTGCATACAGTTAACCAAATAGTTAAATAAATCATGTTATGTTATCTAATTTCACTTTTTGTTCAATATTCAGTAGTTATTCAGTACTGGGGCTGATGGCCAAAACACTTTATACTCTCTTTGACTCTGAAACAAGAAGATGTTATTTTATCGAAAAACTGGAAAGACGTTCCTTATAATCTATAAAAGTGTTAATCTTCAGGTTACAAATTAGACTGTTATAGATCAAGTCAAATGGCAATAAACCTAATTTCTAACAACTGCAGCCTGTGTCAAACAGCCACACGTCTTATAACCCTAAAGCTGCGTTATTTGTTCAAATGTTATGACTGCTGGTATGGAACACATTTGTGTTATGTTGCCTCGTTGGCCAACACAAAAACATCAACAGAACAGATGATAGTTCCTCTGGCAGATATAAACATTTACACATCTGCTCATTTTCATAGATATGCGACAGACGTCACAGATGTACGCTGCTGTTCCTGCAAAACAGATCGGCTCGCTGCGTGCTGATTGTGCGGCTGATATCTGCAGACAGGCCTGCTTTGTTCACAAACACAAGACAAAGAGAACAACTGGGGAAACAAGCAAGAGGGATTTGATTTTTTAGGATACAAAAGAATAAACAGGACAGAATTTCATTGTGCAACCTTCCATTAAGGGAATGGATTTAGAAATAGTCACTTTATTAACTATAATATGTATAGATGTGTTATTACAAGGCATTAATACGATTTTATTAGATCAAATTGTTATGAAGAATCCAATAGTAATCTAATGATTATGTTGTATGTTGTGACTAAAGGGTCATCCATCCACAAAGCAATCGTAAATGTTCTTGACCAATAACAACATATAAAAAGACAAAACAAGTTGTGTTTTCCTTCAAAGATAAAATAAGGGTTTGATAAATGCAACTTATGACAAAATACTGCTCTTTCAAAACGTGCTTCCATCATTATCATATATAGCTCAAAGCATATCTTTGTCTCAGTACAGACAATTTCACTTATCTGTTCTTGTTGAATTGATAAGTAGGTCACAACAAGTTAACTTTTCAAAATGCAAACAAAAACAAAAAGCTTCTTGTTAAGTTAAAAAAAATGTAAAAGATGTAAACACGTTATACATAGCATTGGGCTCGTATTTTTATGACTTTCATATTTAGTATAAAAATGTTTCTACTTATGCTTTGGAGAATACAAATACTTTCCATTGGCTGCTGGTATTCCATTGGCTCTTCCTCGATCAGACGCTCGCTGATTGGCCGCCCACACCAACCTGTCCGGAAGCTAATTGGCTCACCTGCTACAGGTTTCTCCACCTGTTCCGTCTTCTCTTCGTGTAGTTCTACTTCCAAGAACAGTGCAGCTGTCAGAGGGGACTGAGGTGCACCGACATGGACTAAACACAGCTCGTTGCTTTTTATACACACAGCTGTACGGGTTTACATCTTTTCTCTTTACATCTTTGGTGAGTTATCAAGAAATCCCTCTGTTTGAAGTGAGTGCGATCTTTGATTCTGCTTTATTCATGCATACGACAGCGTTATGAGGAAAGAGTACTTTTTTAAAACGCGCTTTTACAAAAATATAATCAACCTTAAAGCATGGTATGAGTGTGCAATTCGTTTAGACCCATAGTTGTAGTATTTTATAAAGCTTTTACTTGATTATTTACTGTATTTGAGGAGGTTTCAGGACTCTTTGCACAAATAGGCTCATCATCTGTCACTAGGCAGTTTGGGTTGGAGGGAAGTTGAGGGTGATGAAGAAATATTCCCACTATAAATCAATAAATATACTACATGGCTAATCCCTTTCATGCTCTTAAGAACCTATACCTCCTTTCAAAGATTGATCATTAATGTGGCATCATTGAATATAAGTTGGCTTAGTGGTTATAGGTTGAGTCAAAGTGCAAATATTTGAAGATAAATGTCAATAACACAGAATTCAGTGGAACATGTGCCAAGCTAAACATTAATGAAGAAAATGGTGTTCACTCGAGCGGGTAGAGAGTTACACAACCTGCTGATATTCACCATGAACTTGTGTTTACTGACAATCATTAAACCAGCTCTCTGGCTGCCCTTAAACACATACTTCACATTTTTGGTTACTATATATACTATAATGTATCCTCATAAAGTGTAGATAATGATTCCTTGGATTGTAATTAAGCCTGGGAAGATGGAACTGTTCTCACAGTAAACATTTAAAAATACCTGTAGCTGATCCGCCCGCTTTATAGTTTATAGTTTTGTTATATGCTGAGTTATAATTCAAGTGGAACACCCAGTAACATCAGAGCAGTTTAATTTAAAGTAGGAGCAAGCAAAGTGACATTCCTTTCACTATTAAATCCTGACTCAGCTGTGGGTGCAGTGAGCTATGGTTTGTTGTTCAGGTATGAGGTGTTGGCTGCTCTGCCTCGGACACTTGTTCCCTCGCTCTGCTGATCTGATGGGAGGACCGATAATTGGCTCCTATTAAAGCTTAGAGGCCACTTCATGCTTCGTCAGCCAACCTTTGTTGCCAGAAAACACGAGTGTGGGTGTTGGTGATCAGGTTTTAACCCAACTGTCCTTTGCTTTGTCAACAAGACATTATGCCATTGCTCATCAGTGGCTTCCTACCAGGCTTTCACAATATCTATTTTTTTTACCAAGTAACTTTCTTGTAACTTGTGCCTTAAAATTTGTATTGTTATGATCCAGTTTCTAAATCAGTTTGTTAATATTAGTTCAAGTATTTTCTCAAGCTTACTTTTATTTTTCATCCTAGTGAAGCATCCTGCATTACATTTTGTAATCCTCCATTTGTCAGAGAAAAGTCATATCTGTTGGACTGTCTCTCTATAAATGCGCTCTTGTGCTCAGGGATGAATCAAAACGTTAAAAATATGTACAAATTAATCAATTCTACCCTACATGTATACATTTTCTCTCTATGGCATTTCCATAGTTCAAACAAAGTCATGGTCAAAGGGGAATTGTATCTTTTTAGAAAACACAAATATTTGAGTCCAAATCCGAGTGATTCAAGTGTTTTAATCATTAACCATTCAGCTATCTGTTACATTTTCTATATATTTTTATTTTACTTAAGCCTCTTTCAAAGTCCTATCGTCATACTACCATAGATAACATATTGATTTTAAAACTGAAACGCAAAGTACTGAAGATAAATACTGAAGATTCACTATTCTCGCTGTAGCACTGAAATTATCTCAGTCACTCAGTCGTTAATCATTCATCTTTTTTAGGCTGCTGTCATAAACTGCCGTCAGTTACAAGAAACATCCCAGAAGCTGCTCCTATTTTCCTTGAAGCATTAGTTGCATCACAAATTATTTAAATTTGGCAGAGCAGACATATTGTTTATGGGTAAGGTGCGTTAATAGAAACTCATGCCACATCATAAAACTATGATAACTCAGCATAAAGTTACCTTTATGCCGTTTTTGGGACTAAAACCAACACTGACTCATAACGGTCAACGCTTAATTTCCTAACTCTTATTCGTTCAATCAAATGTTCTCTGAGATAACAGAACAATGCAGTTGGCTTTGCTCTGTTTCCACGAACACACCTGAACCTGATTGTGCAGCTACGTGATGAGTAAGCCATATAACAGGTTGTAAAGCCTTTGTCTTGGGATACACTATTATACATCTGTGTGACCTATTTAGACACAAATCCACTGAAGAGCCATAACCCAAGTTAAACAAATATTATCACTTTGTGAGTCAATCATGATGCATTGTTGGATGCAAGTGCTTCACAAACTTGCTAGTGCACGTTAAGCCCTTCTAATGGAAAGTGAAGAACTTTGCTTCATGTGGCCTCTTCTTTATTGTCTTATTAATTCATTTACTCCCCTATTTGTTTCTAAATATGCCCTCTATTATTGAGGCTTTGGAAAATCCTTTTCCTAGTATTGTACTAGTAGATGTACTAATCGCTCTACTTGTTTTGGCTGGCACACTCCTCATTCCTGAGCTGTCAATGGTAATATACACAAGGTAATATGCAGGAAATACATGTACTGTTATGCAGATCAACTGTCTACTCCGATTGTACATGATGTGAAGCGCGTCATGCTCATGCACGAACAAAGATGAGACGTCTCGCTTCATGGCTGAATCATAGTGACTGGAATTCTTATTAACAAACCACTTAAAGCATCGCTGCATAACCTGAGAGCTAAAATGCCAACATTCTTCTTTGTACTATCTGTCGCTGCAATCATTTCGCAAACAATTCTCACTACAGATGTTAATATAATAAACCATTACAAGTCTTTGTTCACTTTTGAAATCACTTTAGTCTGTTTACCATCCCTCCACTATAGCTCAATACTGAATCACAAGGGAACTGTTGGAGCTATATGTACCAGAAGTCGAACACTTTAGAAAGTATCTGAACAGACAGTTGAAGCATCACATGAGCTTCAGAAACGTTTTTGAAATCCCTTTTTGCAGAAACGAGGACTGTGGATGTCTCCCGTCACTTACATTGAAAGCTCATTAGGAAATCATCTTTTACTGGCCCGTCTGAACATGAACGATGACGGCAATAAAACAAGCTTTATTGCCGTTATGATTACCTGACCATTATCCAAAGACAGACGGGAACAATTGTGAGCCCATCCTAAAAGCACAATAATGTCTAATTTATGAAAATAAATGATAACCAATTTCGTGAATGATTAAAGCTTTATCTCATGTTTACCGGCTGTAGGACGTCAGTATTCATATTTGAATAATTAAATAACAGAGACACACATTTCATCTGTTTGGCCATTTTGTCCCATTCCTACATTTTGTCCTTTACTTTTCAGATTCTACCTCAGCCTGAGTCACGGTGAAAGTTACCGGTAACAACGGGACTGTGAGGCCCAGGTCCCGCCCTCGTCCTCTTCCTCATGCCATGCCGAAGAGTGACACTTGGCCAGGCGGCGTTGCCATGGAACCCTCGAGTAATTTGGACAGTGCTGGGAGCTGGGACAGTGTAATCAGCATGATCTCTGGCTATGTGAGTGCTGCAGTACATCTCATCCCAGCCTTCTGTCCCAATGACCCTGTCTCTTATCTGCTCTTTGTGTAACACATGGACACACTTTACTGCGGCACGTCTCCTCTCGTCCATCTGAATAAACATTACATTTATACACGCTTCTGCAATTTATTGGAGTGGTGAAATAAGGAACTGGGACTTTTTTTAATTAATTTGTTCAAACTGTTTAAAAATACAAATACAATCATCAGACATAATGGAAAAATGTGGCGCAGTACAGCCAGAAAAGCTGTACAAAACTTGAGAGTCGGGTGCCAAGACATTAAAGGGCCCTATTGTGCTTATTTTAAGGCTGATATTTGTATTTTGTGCCTCTACTGTGACATGTTTACATGCCTTAATGGTCATTACATGTCTACATTATCTCATACTGCCTGCTGCAGCACCTCTTTTCACCCTCTTTCTGAAACCAGAGCCCAGTCTGCTCTGATTGATTAGCTGGCCAGCTCTGTTATGATTTGTCAACTGCTTAGAGATGTCTATGTATATGTATATAATATGAATAGAATTGGAGAGAGTTAATGTATTACACAGCAACATTAAATTGTGCATCAGGCTCTAATAACTTCTGCATGGTTTATTACAGTATCTATGAGAAGGTCAAATAAGAGGAAGTTGGAGGTGATGTACACTCATGTTGGTTCAGGCAGGGTGTCAGTGAGAGTTTCTCTATAGATGACTATAGGGGAGTTTTTTTTTTAATGCCGTTCACAAGCACCTACTGTCACCTGAAATGAATTCCCCTGACAGGCCAATATAAAATAAAAGATGGCCAAGTACAGAACAGGACAAAAGTGTCATCCCTCTGCAGCAGCTTGACCACTAAACCACTTTGACCTTTTGTTCCTGTCCTGTCTCTCATGGCGGTGATAAGGGTTGAAGGGAGGACAGAGATTGCTGAAGATTTGAGAAACTGCTCCGAGTTTAAATGCGTTTATTTTGTCTGCAGAGTGAAGACAGTATGGAGCACTTAACAGCAGAAGAAAGAGCGTGTATCATGTATCTGGAGGAGACAATTGAAGCGTTGGAGGTGCAGGAGGACAGCGGCTTTTCAAACGATGAACCAGAGGCTGGATTACAGGCAGATAAAACAAGTCACATGAGAGTAAATGGTATGTTCATATCAAGAAAAAAACAATATTTGGACAAAATGCTAATTGAAAAAGCTAATGAACTTGCTGATTTTGTAATTATTTTTTTGTATCTTGATGGTTGATTACACTGTAAGTTGCTTTGGATAAAAGCGTCAGCTAAATGAAATATAATGTGAACACTAAATTACAATCAATAACTGCAGTATTTGTGTGTTTCTTACTAAGACATTTCCAGTTTCAACACTGATGAGTCTGGAGGAGCTTTAACCAACGGAGACAAAACGGGGCATCACATTTTACAAACTCCAGAACCAGCGTCCTCTCCTGCATTCGACAGGAAAGATCTGAACACATCCATGAACCTCATGACTCAACTCAACCCTCCAGACACAGAATCAGTCACTGATAGCAAAATCCACAGTGAGTTGTGCATATCCACGGATGAGGATGGTAAACTAAAGATTGTCCCAAGTGACAGTCTGTCCACTGGGGCCCCTGAGACAGATGCGGGTGTGATCCCTCCTCCCTCAGCCTTCATGGATGAGCCCTTTAAGCCTCCACAGCCACAGAAAGTGAACTACCTTCCTCCACCTGCAGGAATACACAACCACCAGCCAGGAGGAACTGTTGACTTGGAGGAGCTACGTCAAAGAGCCACTGAGAAGAGGTCTTCACAGAGGTCGCCTGTGAACAACGAGCCTCCAAACAACGACCCTCCAAACAACGAGCCTCCAAACAACGAGCCTCCAAACAACGAGCCTCCAAACAACGAGCCTCCAAACAACGAGCCTCCAAACAGCGAGCCTCCAAACAACGAGCGTCCAAACAGTCCTCCAGAGCTGAGTCTACCAGCCGTCAGCTCGGGTCCCCCGTTAAGTCTTCCCCCGTTAAGTCTTCCCCCGATAAGTCCTCCCCCGTTAAGTCCTCCCCCGTTAAGTCCTCCCCCGTTAAGTCTTCCCCCGTTAAGTCTTCCCCCGTTAAGTCTTCCCCCGTTAAGTCCTCCCCCTGAGGCCGCTGAGCCCAGAAGTCCCCCTGCTGTGGCCCCTAGGCCCAAGAAGCTTCCTTCCAACATTATTCTCAAATCACACAAAACTGGCTATGACGGCAGCTCTGGAGCTTCGGTGTCCACTAACAGTGACCGGCATTTGTCCGACCCCCAGAGGGTCCGCATTGAGGCCCTACGGAAGCTCGGCCTGCTGCCTGCTGAGGCAGATTCAGGCCCTGCCCTTAGTCCTTTACTTTCTCCCAGAACCAGAAAGTCATGGGCAGCTCCTCCTTCTCCAAATACACCACCCGTGACTCCATCTTACATCCGAGTCCACAGCCCACCTCCTGCCTCCACTCCTCTCCAGTCTCCTGCAGCTGAGCCGACAGCAGCTCCTTCTACAGCTGCTGAGGTCCTCCCAGTGCCTGCTGCTTTCAGTGATTCACTCTCTGCTGTCAACACGCCCCCTCGTACCCCTCCTGCCCTGGTAAAGCATCTAACCCCACCAAAAGCCTTCAAATCCGCCTCCCTGGAGCGTTCTTTACCTGGCCTAAGCAGCTATATGGCGAGCCAAGAATCCAACAAGGCGGGAGGGGATCAGAGCCCCAGTCAGCTACGTAACAATCGTCCTCGTCCCGCCTCTCTGGGGAGTGGGAAAGAGTTCATTGGTGCTCAGGGAAATGATTTGCATCCAGGCCGTGTCATCAGCAAAGAGCCGGACTTACGGAGGTCCCTGCAGGCCCACAATGCCTTTCAGCACACCGGAAGCGCTCAGAAGCTTCCTCGATCGCAAGGCATCAGCGTGCTGATCTGCCCGAGGTCAGAAAACGAAGAAGACCGCCGTGACGCTCTGAAGAAGCTGGGGCTGATCAGGGACTGAGGCATCCATTTTCACACTTACTTACTAACTGCCATGGTATCCCTCAGATAATATATTTAAAGGAACATACCAGAGATTCATACATGATTGATGAAGGCGTTAAAAAGACATCATTTTTCATTTTCATTTTTCTTCATTTTTACTTCATCATGCACGAGACTGACTCGCATGTCTTGCATTCATTGGCCGCACTTGCATGGACAGCCTTATGTACAGTGTTTTATTTCTCATAAAACTGCCAATCAAGACCTTTTTTAATACACACTGACTTACTGTAGCTGTGGTTTTGTAAATTAAAAATACTGTTACTTTTAAAAAGGGATTGAGTTATCTGTAATTTTAATATGTTTCTTGTAATCTACATGTATAAACATTTGTGTACGTCTGTCACATGTTGTTCTTTACAGTGACACCACTGTTAGAGGTTAGTTCCTCTCTTTGTTCTCCTTTTAGATACTCTCAAAGGTCACCTTTCTTCACTTTCACTTCCTAAAATTCTTCAGATTTCTGCTTTGTTGACTACAGGAACTAGCTAATATTTAGGTGTTTGTGTGTTTAACATGAGCTGCATTGACCCTGTATGGCTCAGTGCAGCATGTCAAAGCAAAGGATTTTACATTATAATTGAAGGGTGTTGACTAAATGAATAAAAAAAGTAGAAAGTATGTACTGTATAGCTAGAACATACCTTAGCGTAACTCAAAGCACGTAATGGGCCGGCGGCCACTAGGTGATAAGAATTTGAAACACGCCTTTTTTGTGGTTGCTTAGTGACACACATGGAAAAACTTATGAGCTTGTTACACAGCGGATTTATGTGGTGTCAATTGTTGACCCCAAAACTTTTATTAGGTGCACATGTTATATATTTCTTGAACATACACTGTCCTTTCATTGCCTTCAAGTCACAACTGTACTTTATTTACATTTCTAATATATCATTTTCCTCTGATGGCATGTAAAGAATTGGCCCTCATAAATCATGTGAAATCTCAAACAGACAGATGTTCTCTGGCGCAGCTTTAGCACCTTTTATCTGATGTGATAGAGAGAGAACTGGTACAACCTGTTTCCCGCCTCCAAGTTTAGACTTATGCAACACCTTTGCTGCTCTGCGTGGCACATTTACAAGCAGACAGTACGTCTGGAAATCATTTTATCACTGCTGCAGGCTTTCAGAGATAAATAGATTTGCTCTATTCTCTAACACGGTGTTAAGGTCACCTACTGCTGTGAAAATTAAGCTAAATTTAAAAGTCAACTCTGAATAGGTATTTACATCATGAAACGACTGCACTATGGAGTTTGTAGAGAAACTGGCAAAAGTGTTTGAATCAACAAATTTTGTCCATTATAGGACCAGAATATTGACCTTTCGGACAATGTTGAAGGCCTGCCACATCAAAATGATACCAGTGCAGCGGTGAAGTGTGTCCACACTGATAATCATTTTTCTTATCTTTCTAGTTGGTGCCATTCAAGCTACTACATTTAGGTGTGGTGTCTTAGTGCCAAGTGCACAGTCTTTGTTGTCTTAAGCACACCATTCAAGCTACTACACTTACACTTAGGTGTGGTGTCTTAGTGCCAAGTGCACAGTCTTTGTTGTCTTAAGCACACCCTGGATTTCTTCCCAACATGTATTTTATTACGTATTTAAGTTTGCATAATCTATAAACAGAATATTTTCATAAATGTATCTGTTTATTTTTTGTTTATACAATTTTGCCAAGGAAGATAATACCTGAACTTCCAGAGGAAACTTTTAACAAGAGCCACGTGAAAAGGGATTTGAATACTGTTTTCAATATTTTCAAATGAGCATATTTTTGCAATAAAGATGAATGAAAACACTATGAAGACACCTTAAACTAGAATAATAATTTGTGTGTATGATTTGTATTTGTTTAAGTTAGCAAGGATCTCTTTCACTGTAAAGAGGAAGCATATGCGTGCTATCGAACCAACACAGGCTTGTTTGTGCTGCTGCTCTGTGGCCTGCGAGCTATCTTCACTTTCCACCTGCGCTCTGTTGTCCCGCTGCCAGCAGACCTGACTGACAAGGACTCAGTGAAAGTTCCTGTCACTTTCACTGTTACCCTCATTGACGTCATAGATCAGCTGCTTTGAATAACATACCAGATATCACTTTGCATACCAACGTGTAAAAAGGTTATGATGGGATCTGAGATTAGGGAATAAAGTTAAACCTTAAATACACACGATGCAAAAGTGATATATTATAGCCAGGGTTGGGTAGAATTGGATTACATGTTTATCAGGATTAAATAGTAAGATTACAAAGAAAATAAGTAACTTTAATCAACCTGAATGCCATTAATACAAATGTGCATGCAGATCATGATGACAATGCCAAGGATTATTTGATGACATTTTAGGAAGTGTCTAAAAAAATAACAGAAATGTTCTCCATGTAGTCGTCGGGGAAAAAAATGACACATAAAAAAACAGCATCCCACATGTTGTAGAATACACACAATAGGCCTAATCCATGTGTACCAATACTGTTTTGGTAAGTAACATATATATTTGGAGGTAATTATAAAGAAAATAAATTGTTTTGGTATGAGGTAAGTCTTCTATATTAAGTGCAATATTAGATTTTTTTAATGTTCAGTTTAAAAAAAAAAAATGTTTCTTGGAATCCAATTAAGTACATTACTCTCAAATGTGCTTCGTAACTGACTGCATTGTAAAGTTATCTGACCCAACCCTGATTATATCAAACAACCTGCTAACAACTGGTTGATTAAGTAGAGTAGAACTTTTTAGTTTGAATGCTTTTTACAAATAGCATTGGCTAAGTGTTAATGTTTCTAATCCTGCAGTGAGAGCTCCTGTGTTTGTTATTCCAGGTCGTCACACTAATGAGGGGGCAGCAGAGGGAGAGACCACCATGAGGTGAGAGGGACAGGTGCGTGCTGCTGCTCTATCGAACTCTTTCCCCTGTCAATATGTGCCCTAACCTTCTCCATAACCTTAGCCAATTATTTATTCTACTTCCATCGATAATCTAATCTGAACCCTAACCGGGGAAAGGAGACGCTACCTGAAGGAGAATGTCACTGCGACACACGTGTTGGTTCAATACAGGAAGTTACCTGTAGTAGTTTGGCCCACTAAATTGGCCTGCTGATAAACACGAGCAGCTGTGGGATAAACAGCAATGGATGTGAAAGCTCATGGATTGCATATAAGGTATATATTCAGTGTCATAACCCTACACAAATATGAACACACATATTTCATGGTGACTTTCTACTTTCTATCATTACTGCTATAAACTCCCCATAAAAAGACGCTCCAGGCCTCCTTTGAGAATCATCAGGTTTTACGTTTTCCTCATTTCATCGTTTATTTGAACAGGGACAATGCACATTGATGAACACTTTAAACAAATAATGCTTCAAATGTAAATATGCCGGATTTTAGCTTTGACATGTATATACATAGCACAAATAAATATATGATATGCAGAAAGAGCATGAGCAGCATACAAGTATTTACCACATGGTAAGTATCAGTATCTAAGTATTACAGTGATAGTTGTTAGAACAACCATGGATGCATTTAAACAAGAAACAGCTAATTGTCACTTCGGCATGTATTCTATACTGCTAATTTCCTCAAAAATGTAAACAAATGAGTATTTAAATAATTGGGCTCAAGTTGTTGCTCATTGCCAATACACTGAATGCATGGCATGATACTACCTGTTGACAGGCCTGAAATAATTCGGTCTGGTCCAAAATGTTATAACCCACTCCAAATGAAGCAAGGCAAAGAATAATATTACGAGTTACAGAAATTCCTTGTCCATTGATATACTGTAGGTTTGCAGTATCCAGTTTTGAAATCCACAGTTCTACAGAAACAGCTCGACCACTAGAGGGCAGTCTAGATTCATGTGTCCATAGCAGAAAAAAAACACAAATGCTGGAACCAGACTTCCCCACTGTGATGAGAGAGTTCATATGATGAGCAGCATTCAATAATGTGCATTCAAGACAATTCTCACATCACATGCTGATGAGAAGACTGCCTTTAGATTCAACTGCTAACACTGAGAAAACTGATGAATTGAAACACCTCTAGCCTACTTCTGCATATCACAACACAAAGGGATCCAGAAAAGTGGAAATCAGTGCACTATACATGACGCTGTGATTTTACATTTTACTGTTTAGTTAAAATCTTTTAAATGTGATTCTCTATCTATGGTCTTGGGAGTCTTTTATCACACTCATTTTTATCACTTTTTTAATGTTGTATGAAGTCATAACAGCTGATTATTTGTTGTAGATTTGCAAGTTTTTAAATTCAGTTATTCATTATAAACTGTTATGGTAATCGTATCATCGTCCCGTTACTTTATATATACAGTCTATGCTTGAACAAATGTAGCTCTCCCCTTCAAATTGTTAAAGGGAACCCTTTTGGCGTTTCTTTTACTGCCAAACAAGCCACGATAAAAAAAAAAGCCAAAGCAATGACTTTAACTCCGTATTCATTGTATTTACTTAATATTTACAAGTCTGCATTATCCTCAGTCATTCGTTCAATAGTTAAAGGGCCCATGTCATGCTTTTCCGGTTATTACCCGTCCCCTTGTGTTATGAAGGTTTTTATGCATGTAAACGGTCTGCAGAGTCAAAAACCCTCAAAGTGCACCCTGTAGCGAGTAAAACTCTAACACAGAAAAGACCTGTCTATGCTTCTCCAAAACGCCTCGTTGGAGATTTCTCATTTTCCATTGTTTGCTTCCTGGGTTCTGTGACGTGTGAACACCCAATTCAACAACAAATGACCCAAATGGACCAATCCGCGGAGCACCTCACACACCAGGAGTCCCATTGACTTGCATAGAGCTCCCTGAACGCTGGTAATAGACGAGTTGGGATGGCGGAGAAATGCTCTCCGCAGACCCATTCTCACAGCGTTATAAACCTTTTTCTTACTCAATATCAAGCCACGCTTATTGTTTTTACTTCGGCTGTGAGTGTTTGTGTGTGCTCAGGATGAGTTTCGCTGTGTCTCGCTGTATCGCCGACCCGGAAACCTGTCCGCTCCTCGCAGCAGCGAGCCTCGCAACGTCCCGACCAATCAGAGCACACTGGGCTCACAGGGAGGGGGGGGGGCAGGAGCTCCAACAAGCCGTTTAGGACAGAGAGTGAATACCTGGTGAATACACTTACTATACAGAGATGCTGTATGAGAAACCAATGTGAGTTTGGAAAATTGCACAATTTAAATCTATTCTAGTAGACCTCAACAATGGAAATATGATCAGTAGAAATGGCCATGACATGGGACCTTTAAATTGAATTTAGTTCAGCTGTTGATTCTTAAAACGTCTCATAAAATGGGTTTCTTTTTGGAGAAATAGGAATTGTAGCATTTACGATTTTTCTTATTTTCTTTACAGACCTACTCCGTTATTTTTTACAGTTCTTTTCTCTACTACTTATAAGGTTAAACAATGGTTGAACCAGCGTGGCTGAGTGCTCAGTTTTGTCCACAGCTGCAGTTTTTCAGAAGAAAATCACTGTGTCTTGTTTCCTTCAGAGGAAATGATTCAGGGCAGAGTATTAGCAAAGAGGCCATTTTCCCCTGTCAATATGTGCCCTAACCTTCTCCATAACCTTAGCCAATTATTTATTCTACTTTGATCGATATTTTAATCTAAACCCTAACCACGGTGAAAGGAGAAGCTACCTGAAGGAGAGTGTCACTGCGACACACGTGTTGTTTCAAAACAGGAAGTTACCTGTACAGGAAGTTATTTTCTCTACTAAGGTTAAATAATGGTTGAACCAGCGTGGCTGAGTGCTCAGTTTTGTCCACAGCTGCAGTTTTTCAGAAGAAAATCGCTGTGTCTTGTTCCCTTCAGAGGAAATTATTCAGGGCAGAGTATTAGCAAAGAGGCCATGTGGGCGATTTAAAAGGTTTTACTCATCAAAGTGTCACAATGACCCCTAAACACAATCGTCACTTGTGTGGAGTTTAAAGTGCGTGACATGGGTTGAATGGGACCTAAAGTTTGGTGTTTGACTAGTTAAACGCGTAATATTTGGTCTTTTATGACACACATAGGCTGAACCTCCACAATGGAGACACTCCCTGGGTAGTTGGAGCAGGTGGGTGTAGCTGCTGCACTATCAGGCTAGACAGTGAGCTCATGGGACTTCCCCAGCGCCCTGGTCCTGTTCTGTACTTACCTACCTACATGATGTGTGTGTCTGAAAGAGGCCGCCAGGAGCCTTGTCCTTTTCTTCACATATGCGTTGATCATAGAGGATTAGTGGAGACAAAGTGGCGCAGAGCCACTGCTGAGTGTGCTGGGGTTTAAGCATGCCCGGCCCAGTTCTGTGTCATCCAAAAAGTTTGCTTAAAATATAGGGGTATTATCTCTCGTGTGTGTGTGTGTGTGTGTGTGTGTGTGTGTGTGTGTGTGTGTGTGTGTGTGTGTGTGTGTGTGTGTGTGTGTGTGTGTGTGTGTGTGTGTGTGTGTGTGTGTGTGTGTGTGTGTGTGTGTGTGTGTGTGTGTGTGTGTGTGTGTGTGTGTGTGTGGTGTGTGTGTGTGTGTGTGTGTGTGTGTGTGTGTGTGTGTGTGTTAGGCGGTAGGCAGTAGGCAGTAGGCGCTGTTGTACAATTAAATTGTATGATGATTGATACTTTGAATAATTCAGGCGCATCACAAAGGATTAAACGTATCACAATGTCTCCCTTTCTGCTTCATCTTCTCTTGATGAGTCCACTTGATTACAGATGTACAGTACGCACACACACCAAATAGAGTATTCGCACAGGCCTGTATCCCCTCCAGCACCCACATGCTCACTCATGCAGCTAACAATCCTGTCCGTATCTTGTCTTCCTCCCTGTTGCAGCAGCATTAAGTCTCAGGTAATATGAATTGGAGCGTAGAAAAACAAGCCCTCATAACCCATAACCCGAGGGTGCTGCGGTGATAACGCTCATTAGAAGGTTTCAACTCATCTGACATTTCCAGTGCTGTGATGTTACAATACAACTTGAAAAGCCTCTCGAGATGGTGCAGTTGTGTTTATCCAAGATGCTGCAAAAGTAGTCTTTGAAAAAAGCCTTTCAGTTGGTTAGAGTGTGTGTGACACCTTCATTTCTTCCGACTTGATAACTGTGTTTCCTTTTTCCTTCCCTCTCCCTCTCTTGCTCCCTGTTAGTGCCAGTGACTAAGGCTGTGGTCAGAAGGCATTCCTGGGGCAAGCCCACAGCGTTCGCCTGGATGCTTGTACTAAAGTGTGGAACTCAGCAAGCCACTCTGCTCCCCTGTGGTGCTGGCATGGTGAGTACCAAGAGATCCTGCTGAGCCTGCGGTGGTGTTTGTAACCTCGCATATGAGGCCCCTGCAGAGAGGAAAAAGACGGGAAGAAAGAGGAAAATCCTCTTAGCTGTGAGCCTTGGCATTTTCACACATAACTCTTTTAGACAATTGGGGAGCATAGATGTCGAACTGGTAGAAAGTAAATGAGGTTCTTAGGTGATGTGTCCCCGTGTATGACCATCTGGAAGAGAGCATTAGGCTCTCTGCAGGGCTTCTACTCCTCAGTTCATTAGCATGCAGGGTAGTGCAGTGATGGCTCTCACAGACGCCTCCCAACATGCATCCATCTTACATTTATCTTGCAGCAACAGCTGTTAAAGCATTGTGTGAGCCAAAGTAAAAAAGTGGGTTGTCTAAAAACAACTGGGTACAACATATATTTTGCCTCTTGATGGCTAAAAAAAGGGAAAATTAGGAAGTTTGGAACCATTGAGGCAGTTGTTAAATGTGCTCCAACAATCATAAATGTTTTGTAAAGATCCAAATAGTGCCGTGCTTCAACTCTTTTGAAAGAAAAAGTTATGAACTAATACTGCCTAAAAATCTAAAAAGTACTATTGGTAACCAGTCAGGTTGCGGTCAGTTACTCAAATCTCATAAAATGTTGCATAAAAACGTTGTCTCCCTCTAAAAAAAATGGTCTTCATTGGACTTAATCTACGAAAGCTCTTTCTCGACACCTTCCACACTCTTTACCCTGTTAAGTCCTGTTCATGACGAGCATCATAAATTAAACATTTCCTCGGCTTCCCTTGTGTGTCTGTAAGTGTAAAAATAGCTTGGTTTGGTGCACAGTGTGATGCTCATGCACAGCCCCCTGTATTTAATGAAGTGTTGCCATGAAAAGTGTACTGATCCTGCAGCGTGACTTTGGTGGCAAACTGTGTTCTGACTTTTTCAAACTCCCCGAGTGACTGAGCTCATTTGGTCATACAAGTGCTCACAATTACCAAGAGATTTAAATACAAAGACAGGGGATATTTCCATATCCCTGACGGATGTTATTTTAATTACACTGAATTGCTTGACTTTGTGCTGAAGATTTACATTATTCTTCTTCTTCAGTGGAATCAAAGAGGGATTCTCGGAAGGTAATTCTGTTGTACTGAATCTCCTTTTTAGTGAGGCCCCTAATCTTTGTCAAAACATGGGGTAGCATTGGAAACCGTATTGAATTACTTAGTTTATAAAATATCTTACTTTACATCTGAGGTTACGCCTTGACACCTTTTCTTTGAAGTAATGGTAATTTAAAAAAGTGTTAGAATGGCGGATAATTAAATATAATACTCTTTATCAGCCATAGAACTTTTTCCATCTGAAGAAAGTAGAGCTGTTATCTCCAATCAACCTCATTGTGAGGCCCTAATTATATCTGATTGGAGAAAAAAATTACACATGGAAGCCAGCGAGATAATTATAGTTTCGAATCCGCCCGTCCTTTGAAATGACAACATTAAGGCATCAACACAGCTGATTCATTAAGGTGATAATGCAGGCAGAGGTACCAGGTGTGGGGATACAGATGCAGTTCCTCTGTGGGGCGCTTCCTGAAAACAAATGTTTCTGATGTGATTTTCGGTGAAATGTGGTAGAGTAGATCAGTGGGCTGTGCGTCTGGCAATGTGAGCGTGGAGCTTTTTGATTCATGAACCCCTCATGCCTCATTCCTCAGGTCTTGGGGGTAATGATTGCAAACCTGTGATCAGTGTTTTGCAGGGATGGCTGATGCCAGAGATGGAAAAGCAAACTAATCCATTGAACTACAAAACCCTTCACATCCTTATTTTGTTTAAGAAAAATAGTCTTTTTGTTCCATGCACACCTAAATGACTCTCGATTTTTTACACCAGACAAGGCTTTACTTATTCAAAGCCAGGAGAAAAATCAATGTGGCTGAATCTTCTACAGAGAAAAAGTCAATACTGACGAGCGGATAATGTGGTGTTGGTTATGGTATTTGGAGCCAGATGACACAAAATATATTTTGAATTCTTGTTTGTTTTTAATTTTTTTGGGTGGTCCCTAATCAATGTTCCTGTAAACCATTACTGCTTATTATTTATCATACCTGAGGAATTGATTCATGTCGAAGGGCATTTGAAACAGCTGGTGTAGTTTATTCATCTCAAATAACTAAATATGGACATGTTTTTTTATTAAATAAATAAATTCTTCATGTTTTTTTAATTACAGGTTCTCTTGGAGGTTAGTTCTTCATGCAGGTCCAGCTGCAGCTATAACAGGAATATGAAATTGCTTAGGGCCCCCAATTGACCTCAGAATAACGATGACATGCAGAAACTTGGGAAATGTTTTCATCTTCCAGTTTTAAATAAGTTTTACAATTTAGTGCTTAGCTCTAGTTGAACTTTTAAATCAATTCAGTAAGCATGGAGGAGAAAGATTAATGTAATCATATTTCCCCCCTTGAATTCAATACGTTTACGTCCTTTAATATTTGGGGCTTGATTGGCCTTTTTCTAAATGTCAAGATTTGTTGTTGACTAACTGTTTTAATGAGCACATTCAGATAGCAGACATCACACTTCAACACTGAACCCACGACCCGAGGAAAATTGGTGCTTATTGGTTGCTGAATGAGCTGTAGCTTAAGAACAAAATGCAATCTCCAAGCTATTACTTTTCCCATCCAAGTCATTTATAAATCCATCCGCCCTCTGGCACCCTTTCAGCCAAGCTTTTACGCCGACGGGACACTGTTTTTGCGCAGGTGACACCGGCCAGGTGACCTCACAAACCCGGCTCCGGTGCACGTGGTAGCCCAGGTCTACTTTCACTGGTACCTTTGTGTAAATCCCTGCAGAACAAACACATAAGGGAAACAGTTAGTGTGAGAAGATAAGGAGCAGCAGAGGAGTCCGGAGCGCTTCTTCTCTCCTCCCCCTTCAGACCCCTCCGCTCCGCTCCACTCCATCTCTCCCTCTCCCTTTTCCTCCCTCTCTCTCTCTCCCGCTCTCTCTCTTTCTCTCTCACTCCCCCTTTCTTAAATTGACATTGGTCTGGCTCGAAACATGATAACAGAAAAGCCTTCCTCCGCTCCTCGTTGTCGGGCTGTCCTCGCCGATCACTTGAAACCGAAATAAGCAGCGCAAAGAGGAACGGGATCGCACAGTGTCCTATCAGCGGCTCCTCAGAGGGAATAACAAGAGACCTTTATACCGCACAGCCTATGTGCTCTTGCGCATCGTAGACCTTAGAAAGTGCTCGTGTTCAACTCTAGTGAAAGTTAACATGTATATGCACGCTTTGAGACGCGCAAGCCTTGGATTTGTAGGTTTCTGCCTGGTCGCCTTTGTCCAACAGTCAGCTTCAGGAAGTAAATCCACTCAAGGTACGTTTTCATGAAAAAAATAGCTTAATTTATAACTACTGATGGCTGGGAATGTGCTGTTCTGCCAAACTGCTTGTAGCCCAATTGATAGATTTCTTAGATATTTTTTGGAAAGCCATTGATCAGCTGTCTAAATAAATAGAACTTAAATTAAGCTGTATTAAAACAAGTAAAAAGCAGAATATTTGAAAATGTAGAGAGTACAAAGTAAAGTTTTTAGAGCTTTTGATCCATCAAATACTCTGTTTAATTCAAGCAGGCGCCTTCTGTTGATCCACTGACTCATTATGCAATCACTCAATTGCTTTTTTATGTTGTGTCAGTTGATTTGTATTTATGCAGTCTTGATGAAAGGAAACATAAAAAGGCTTCAATTAAGTTTCACTGAGTGTTTTCTGTTGTCATAAGAAAAAAGCAGCTGTCTTTGATCTTCAAAGAGCAAGCAGTGTGAACAGTTATGTTTCATAGCTAATCCTGCAGGTAATTGTAGTGAGAATAGCAGGAGGTATTTGTCACAGTCCAGACAAGTATTTGACACCGTCCTGTAACGCACACATGGAGGAGTCTCTGTCTGTCAGACACTGCAGCTATAGTGCCGGCCTGCCCCCCCCCCCCCCCCCCCCCCCCCCCCCCCCCCCCCCCCCCCCCCCCCCCCCCCACCCCCCCCCACAGCTGCCCTCTTGCTCTCTTCTCCTGTGAGAAATTATTCAGACTAGACAAGGGCTGCCTGAATCAAAAACCCTGGCACCTTACAGAAAGAAAGACACGGTGTTACACACTCAATCTGTGATCGGCTCAACCTTTCTTCTCAAGGGTTTTCATCACTTAATTTTCCCACAATACAAATGCCAAGACGGAGCTGCCAGAAGTATTTGCATGCAAAGACACATCATGGTTCCTGTGTGAGTGCTGATTGTGGTCGGTGATGTTTCACACACACAAAAAGACATCTCTCGGGCGGTCGACAAGGCAAAAAGAGAAAGGGGGTGGGTGACTATTTTGCATCCTGGGTGGTCTGCCCCCACTTGTGGGAAAACTCAATATTTACATTTTGCAATTAGAACTACTTTTTTCTCACTTTATTTTCCACAACATCGATTACACACTTCCTTGTAGTGTGGAATGCCGCTGTGTGAGTGTCGGTCTGTAATGGCAGGCACCTGTTTGTTGGTGACCGAATGAAACGCCATGAACGACCACTTGGTTGGCTTCTCCTCCAGTTCGTGTTTATCAGTGCAGCTCTGCAGTGACATATTGTCTGTGTTTGACTGAGTTATTTGTGAGCATATTTTGTGCTTACTGAAAATAAATATTGTGATTTTATGTTGCTGGCAACTGTGGTACTGACAAGTCTGCAAGCTGGGAACAATTTTGCAAACCGTAGAAACGGATGGAAGAACAATGACTAAGAAAATGCACAATTTGTCATCTCAATATTTGTTCAACGCAGATGTTGCGGAGTCTTTGTCTTTCATCAACGTCAGTCTAATCATGGCACTGAGTTTCAGGCATCAGTCATTACTCCAAGAAGAAAAACAGAGCAAGAGAGCAGTGGAATGACGGGAGGGAAGATTTGAGGATGTGGTGGAGAGAATGACAAAGAAGGGAAAATTGAGACAGTGGGAAACGGGAGAGATTAAGGCAGCCGAGACAGACAAGGAGAGAGAAGGTTTCTTAGTGTGGCACCAGCAACAAGCGGGTAACAGAGAAGGAAAGGAAAGAGGGGAGCCATAGACGTCATGGCAAATCACTTTCCCTCGAACAGAGTCAGGAGCTCTTCGTTAATGCAGCAGCACCAAGGCAACGGTTGGTGTGGGGCTGACATGCTGCTGGGGCTGGCTATGTTGGTGTAACCTCTGCTCCGGGGCCTGGGGGTCTAAAGACGCAGGGCTGCCTGAGCGGGGAGGAAGGCCAGACCCAGGCCCGGACACACTGTGGGAACCCAGCAGCCTTGGCAATATGAGGCCCAAGTGACGGGGAAGCTTACCTAGAGTTGCTGCCCTGAGTCCCCACTATGAGCGAGATGGAAAGGAAGAAGAAACCCCCCCCCCCCCCCCCCCCTTCCATCACCAACCCATCCACCCCCAACACTCACTCTTTCCCTTTTTCACCCAACTCTTGCTTTGTTTGCTTTGTCCCCGCTTCCTTTCCTTTGCACTTAATGAAGTAGCTGTGGTTTTTCTCTGTCAGCCATAAGCTACGACTGCATGACACCCAGAGTGTCAAAAAGCTCGCTGTCAGCCTGTGTGCTATTTATATTAATGAAACCAAAAAGACGTGCACAGCTCCCTTCTGTCCCCCTCTTCAGTTCCCTCGATCCTGTCTGGCAGATTTTTGTTACTTGATAGAAGGCAGGACATTTTTCAGGTCTGTGTAAGCATGGAAGTGTCTGCAAATGTGTGTGCATACATGTAATTGGGACAGTGAGAAGAGAGTGTTGGTTTTTTCGAAGCTGAAGAAACATAAAATAACTATTATAGGGCTTTTATTTCTGCCCATGCCCTTGAATGTCTCTGAATGTTAGCTGTTAAGTAGAAAGACGAAGAAGAAACCAAAGGAAAGTGGACAGTCTACAGCACTGTCTTCTATGGACATGGCCAGTCATCTCACTTAACATTTTGACAACACTTTGGAGTTCGTTTTTCATCACCTTCACTCTTGTTTCTCTGGCTGTGTGTTTTATTTTATGCGTTACCTGTGAGTCCTGACAGGCTCATGCAGTGGTATTTGTGGAGCAGTTACACTTATCCCCTCAGAGACTGGAAGTGCTTTAAAACAAGCAGACACAAAAGTCCCTATTTGCCTGCCAAGGTACCGGAGCACAATTTTTGGTAAAGTCATTTTTAACAGCCGGGCGAATGGAAGATGTTTTCAGGTCAGCCAGGGAAGAAAAAAAAAACCTCTCATCGGGATGGTCTGTGACTTTGAGAAGCTACAGACTTTGCAGATCAGGACATTGCTGTTCGGATCATTTAGCCAAAGTGACATATCGCCCTTTAATTTCTCCCATTCATTACACCTCGCTATGTAGACCCAATTAAAGCAGATGAGCTCCTAACCTAGAAATGCCCTTTACAAAAAGTCAGTCTTTTCTCTCTCTGCAGCAGTGACAGATGGTTGTGTTCTCGTTATGATCCGAGTGTCTGTGGCAGGTTGAGCCTCGGGGTAGCCCTCGGTCACCTGCTGATGAGTGGGTGGAGGGGATCAATCGAGCTTCACTCTACCACTCAGCAGACACACTCAAAAAGCATCTGCCTGACAAGTAGCGCTCCAGTACTACTGTACATGTTGTTACAGAGCAGCCGAGAGAGCAGAGAGATTATTATCTTGGCATTACTTGAGTGGTGAAAACACTTGATAACCATTCTGTCCAAGAGCAATGCGGTATGAATCACGAAAACGACTTTGATCTATGAGTGTGTTGCGAGGACAAGTGTGTGGGTATGACTGTGATGAGGGATTTTTAGACTGGATATTAATGATTGCACTTAGCAGGCAGAAGTGCTTTCACTTCCCAAAATGAGGCACCATTATAGATAGAGAATCTTTTAAAAAACAGGGAGCAGTCGAGGTTTATTGTGCTTTTTTATTTTTCTCTTCAGTGTGGCCAAGTTGCAGCTTGATAGAAACATTTTAGTTTAGTTTTAGGGCAGGCAGGCTACAGCTCCACACAGAGTGAAGGCCATGTTTACCGGCACATGTAAAGTCGAAGCTGTCTGGTGCAAGCTGTGACCCAAGGCGGTTCAGTGAGCCTTCGTTCTGGACAGTCACTCACTTTCATCCCGTCTACGGCTGGAATGAAAAAAGAAAGACATTTTCATCTGCAACAGAGTGTCAGGGATTCTAGCCTTCTCTAAACAAGGAGCTCTAAGTGCACTTTGCAAATGATTAGCATTTAATCCATCTATTCCCCTTTTCCTTGTATTAAACCGCATGTTTGCTAGAGTGTCTTTTGTATCTTAAGAAAATGAGATATAAGGTTATTAGTTCTCTCTTTTGCAAGTTTCACTGCTTAATGTATCGGCATCACATGCACAATGTGTCAATTTAAAGAAATGTAAGAAACACCATTATTTGAGTAGAAAGATTGACAGCACTTTTCTCATTGTTCAATTTACGGCTACAACCAGCAGCTTATTTTAGCACCAAATCAAGAAAGGGAGGGGGGAGCTAACCTGGCTCTGTCAAATTGTTACTGAATACATCTTCCAGCACCCCTGAAGCTCACTAATTAACACCTAATTCCTCGTTTGTTTAATCAGTCCGGTTACTTCCTTGAGTCTCTGCTGGTTGCCTGGCAACTGCATTGAGTCAAGGAAGAGTCAACACCCCCCCTTCGCAATACTGTTAATTGTCGTTACACCTTATGGTTTCTGTATGGATTGAACAATGAAGCTATAACAAGTTATTTTTAGGTGCTGGGAGATGCATTTTATTTCAATGTGTTTGAGGCTAGGTGTTATCACACATTTCCAGTCTTGATGCTAAGCTAACTGGCTGCTCGCTGTAGCTTCATATTTATCGTATGGATATAAGATTGTCATTTTATCAAACTCTGAATTTCCCAATTATGTTTTTGGTTTAGAGTTTCCTGTGAATGATTAGTGTTTCAGTTTGTGTCGGCATGTGTGTGAGTCTTTGTAGTCTAATCATATTTTCTGCTTTTCTTCATTTTACATCCAATTATAACATGCTTTCCATCGTCTGCACATATAAACTGAATTTGAAATGTCACCTGTAGATATTACAGATTCCCTGATCCCCAGAGGAACACATCAGCTGTTCAGATTCTTCTGTCATGGCTTCTTTTCTCCCTTTCTCAAGCAGAAAATCACCTTATCAGCAGCTAGCGACACCGCTGTGACCATTATTTGTCAGCTCATTTACAATGGGTGCAGGGTTGACAATGCTGTACACAGTGTATATTTCCTGTGCAACAAGAAGAAAAAGTAGTTTAAATCACCCAAACTTTTCCTGCAAACACCATGACAACTGCTTTG